TTTTGTTTTGCTTTCCTTTCTTCCCAACCCTCCTTGTCCTTGGCTCCAGTCAATCCATTTGTGTTCCATGGTTGAAACAGGAGCAGAGTCACTTGTAAACAGGAGTGCTACTGCTGGGCATACTTGAGTTACCACAGCAGATCTGGGCTGCTGCTGAAAGAGCACTGTTCCATAAGGGAGGCTGATGCTGTCCCCAACTTTGTGGTAGTAACAGTAGCTATTACAGAGGCAAACATTTAAGATACACTTTTGTGAGAACCAAGTACCTGGAATGTCTCAGACTACCCAACAGTTCTTTGAGGTAGGGCTGCCCTGTTTTAGTCATAAGCCGATAGAGTTCCTTGGTGTCAGCATCGGGATTCAAATCCTAGTTTGTCTGAGCTCATTCTCTTAATTACTCTGCTCCTATTTTCTCCCTCCCAAGACAGGTTCCTGAACCTCCCTGTGCCTCCATTTATTTTGCTGTAATTAGGGGTAATTACTTCACAGAGCTATGTTTATATATAGCTATTATAATGTGCTAACAAATGCAAAGTGGTACTCATTAGTAACAATGGTCTGTTACTGTTGAAAATTTGGCTCTAGGGGGCCCAGACAGTGCTAAAGCCATGAGGCTGTCTACATCACAGCCAGCAGTGATAGGAAGGGGGACCTACTAAGGCCGATCATTAAATGAGTGTAACTGAATAGAAAACTAGAAATCCTGGTTTTTTTCTTGCAAGCCTGCATAGCTGGAGCTAAATGGAAGGGGAAGGAATCTGAACTGGCTGAAAGCCCGCCCCAGGTTAGAGACAGCAAATACCCTACTTTATTTGATTTAGTCAGTCAAAAGGAAACCCCATCCTGTGGAGAATCTCATCCTGCAGGTATTTCTGGGCCATGGTGCTTTTGGGTGGGGTCACTGCAGAACAAGACCTGGGCTGCTGACTCAAGGCAGGGATAGGAGTCCTATCTGGGTCTGAGGAAACTGAGGCCTGGAACCATTGTTCAGATGGGACAAGCTAAGACGTCCAACTGGCTACTCAGCTGCTAGTAATCATAGTAATAGGTTTCATAGCAGCTGTCTTCTGTGGGAAGAACAGCAGATATTGGGTATATTTTATTGCCTTTCCTAACTAAATCCTTAACAACAGTTCTGTGAAGCAGATAACATTTTTGCAGATTGAGGACATTTCAAGCTTCATCAGGGTTATGTGCAGTAGCAGAGCTGGACTTCAGTTTCCAAAACAGTTTTAACCATGCTGTGGACCGAAACACAGGGGTTCGGACATCTGGACTAATTCTGGTTGGAACTGAGCCCAAGGCCATCTTGGCTAGATCGTGCAGTAGAGATGGCCTAGGAGAGGACAGTGGGTTCTTGAGCCACAGGCACACACAGATCATGCAGCTCCCTTTGCTGTGGCTGATGTAGGAGTTGCTATGGCGTCACTTCTAAACTCAGTGCCCATTCTTCTGTGTGCTTTCCCGAGGTACTTTATTGGAAGTGAATTCATCAGTGTAGTGGTAAAGGTCATGGTTTCTTGAGCCAGATTACTAGGTTCTGTTGGTTACGTGATCTAGGGTAATTTACTTTTGAGTCTCAGCTTCCCTGTCTTTAAATGTGGGTGTGATATGGATATATGAGTTAATGTCTCTAAAGTGCTTAGCATAGTGCCTGGTATCACAGCAAGTGCTCAATAATTGATGGCTACTGTTATTAGCTATTAGCCAACAGCTAGTGACTGCAGGAAGACCTTCAACTTGAAAACACTCAAAGTGCTGCCAGCCTGGAACAGAGGTCTGGGGACTGTGATTGAGACTGGGAAAAGCTCTGGAAGCAAAAGTGTTCTTCCAGGGAAGGGGGTAGACCCAGAAGAAGGGAGCTCACAGGACAGTGACCAGGGACCATACTCACCACCAGATATGAAAATATTTCCTCTGGCTTGAAACCACCACACGTTGAACTGCAATGAGAGCCCTTCCGAGAGAGCCCAGAATGGAAGGATCCAGCCTTCTGGCACTTGCTGATTGATCATCTGTCAGCATTGATGTTCCCCTCCTTTTTCTCATCTGTTAAAAGCCTTCAGGTTTCAGCTGGTTCTGCCATGTCAGGTCATCAAAAGATGCTCTTACATGGAGGGCTGGTTGGGTAAATGAGATTAAGGGCCTCTTTGGAAGCCCATCTGTTCTGTCTCTACCTGAAGGCCTGGATGCCAGGATTTGGAGGAAGCTGCTATAATGAAGCATCTGTCCAGTGTGGCCAGGGTTGAGTAGCCTGGGATAGGTGGGTCAGATGGAGGCCAGGAAATCCTCTTATCTCACTGGGTGCCTGTGCCTCCCTCAGCAGCAGGAGCTGAGCAGCAAACCCTGATGAGTCAGCGAGGCTGGGAATTAAGAGTTGCCAGTCTGTGAGCATGTGGGGTTTGTGTAAGTTTGGGCCTTTTGTTTGTTTCAGCACTCTAGTCTTTAGAAACACAAATCTGGAAACCAGACCCTCCACATGCTATAGTCCTTCTTGTTTTGAGATAATTCAGCTCAAACAGAACAGTTGCTTCCCTTGTATGATGGTCTTCCAAGAATTAACCCCTTGCCTTTTGATATTTTAATAGGTTGTGCTTATGGCCTGTTCACTATAATCTTAAAGCATAGAAAGACTTTTAAAAAAACCTTAACTTGGGTATGTCATTTTCTACACTAAAAGCTCTTCAAAGACTTTCAGTAAGTTTTTAAAGCCTAAGTGAAATAAATAAATAAATAAATAAAGCCTAAGTGAAACTGCAAGTCTTTGGGAGGCATGTATGGGCATGTCTTTTTGTCATTTATTCTCTCTCAGGGTGGAGAGCAGACACGCCCTGATACGATTAGTCTCCAGGAACTACAGGCATGATTCTGCTCTTCCCTCTTAAATGTGTACACCTAGAAGTCACCCCTAGAATACCTCCTGAAGATAATCCCCACATTTACCCAGGCACTATTTACAGGAAGCTTTTTTTAGGCAAAGTTTAAAGTTCCAGCCTTTCATAAACAGCAACCTTTTGCCCCAGTGCCAGTTCTCTGAAGAGCTTGAATTTAGATCCTAGAGTCCATGAAAGCTCCCTAGAACTGGGGAGGCCCATGTGGGACTGACATAGATTTTTTGTCTGGCGTTTGCTTTCCCTGCTGTCCTGGCTCCTAGTCCACATTTCTCTTAACATTTTTGGTGGATACCATTATTGTAATAGCTGGAAAAATTTTCTAAGTACAGGTTGAGTATCCCTTACCTGAAATGCATGAGACCAAATGTGTTAAGAAATTTCAGATTTTTCCAGATTCTGGAGCATTGCTTTATGCATAATGAGATAGCTGTCTTGGAGATGGGACCCAAAACTAAACATGAAATTGATTTGTGTTTCATATACTCCTATATACATAGGTTTAAGTTAATTTTATATAACATTTTAAATAATTTTGTATGTGAAATAGTTTCATGGTAGGGAAGTTTCCACTTGTGGCATCAAGTCAGCCCTCAGAATGTTTCAGATTCTTCAGTATTTTGGATTTTTGGAATAAGGATGTACAACCTACACTATTAAAATTGGATTTCCTAGCAAACTAGTTTAAAGTAAGAATGAATCCTGGGGGTTGCCATTGTTATGGCGGGTTTAGCTGCTCTGAAGGATGCCTGGATCCCAGGGCAGAGTGCCAGTTCTGAGTCCTAGGATCTCTGCTTCTGATCCAGCTTCCTCCTAATGCATCCTGGGAGGCAGCCTAAGTGCCTGGGAGGCTTAAGTGCTTGGGCTCTTTCCACCCATGGAGAGACCTGGATGGACTTCTAGGTTCCTGGCTTTGGCCTGGCCCAGCATAGTTGTTGTGGGCATTTGGGGAGTGAACCAGCACAAGAAAGATCTCTGTGTCTCTGTCTCTGTTGCCATTTAAGTAGATAAAAATAAACACGTAAGAAAAAAAGGAGCCCTGGATAGACAGGGTAGTCTCAGAGAAATTACATTCCCTTTAGGTCCCTTTCCGATGGGGGTGGCAGGGCCCCAAGCACTGGGGCCATCATCTGCTGCCTCCCAAGATGCAGGAGCAGGAGGCTGGGTCAGAAACTGAGTAGCTAGGACTCCAGGACGGCATGTGAGCATCCCAAGCAGTGGCTTATCCTTTTGCATCACAATTCCTGCCCCCATATCCTACCATTTTTAGAAGATCGTATTTAGACAAATCAGTCCTTTAGAGCAGAGACACATACCCCATTAGAAGCCTGCTAGGACTGTCATGTTTAATGAGAACTTGGCATGCATTCTGTACAGCCTCACTAAAGACATAAAAGGGAGGGAATAAAAAAAAAAAAAGCTCCTAGGTTAGGAGACTTTGCTTGGAGTACAGGGATGGTGAATGGCTTCCGTAGCTGAGCAAAGAAAGGGCCTTACACCTGCTATGTGGGATAGGCCCAGAAAGGGATCTGGAGAGATCAGGGATGAACTTTACTTTGATGTTTGGTTCTGCCCTTGTTCGCAGGCCTGACACTGCAAATCCCTTACCTCATTGTTAAGCTATTGTGAGACCCTATAGTTGTTTTGGGTATGGCCACTCCCTCCCTCTATTAATCCCATGTATGGAAAAAGAAAATCTGAGTGTGACGGTGTTAAAAACTAGAAAATAAACCTTATATTTGTACCCTCTGGCTTAATCCAGGTCCACATAAATTTTTTGCATGATGATGAATTGGCAAGACAGATTTCCTCTGGAATATTTGGCAGAACTGTGGTCTTTGATGTGTTCTGCACATGAATCAGCTTCTTTGTAACCTGTTACCTTAAGAATTTTAGGAATTTCCCATATTGGTTTTCCATATGTGCCATAGCCACTGCTTTTCCAAGGCAAGTTACAGAGCTGGCTTATCAGGGAGGTGATCTCCCTTCATTCCTTGTTGGCTCATTGAAACGCAGTGATCCCCAGGAAGCAGTCCCCAGAGGGTGGTGCCCCCGCCCATGCCCTGTGTTCTGTGTTCAAGAGGTGACTGCTTTCCAATTTCCTCCCAGGTTGGCTGGTTCCTCTGGCTGATGGCATGTTGAAGTACATGGGCCAGCGGCAGCGAGGGCATCCATTCCAGAGGGGGCCACTTTAGAGGCCAGGCCGCCAGCACCATGGGCCAGTGTGTCACCAAGTGCAAGAATCCCTCATCAACCTTGGGCAGCAAGAATGGAGACCGGGACTCCAGCAGCAAATCACACAGCAGGCGAAGTGCAGGCCACCGTGAGGAACAGGTGCCACCTTGTGGCAAGCCAGGTGGGGATATCCTCGTCAATGGGACCAAGAAGGCGGAGGCTGCCACTGAGGTCTGCCAGTTGCCAACGTCCTCGGGAGATGCTGGGAGGGAGTCCAAGTCCAATGCTGAAGAGTCTTCCTTGCAGAGGTTGGAAGAACTGTTCAGGCGCTACAAGGACGAGCGGGAGGATGCAATTTTGGAAGAAGGCATGGAACGCTTTTGCAATGACCTATGTGTCGACCCCACGGAATTTCGAGTGCTGCTCTTGGCTTGGAAGTTCCAGGCTGCTACCATGTGCAAATTCACCAGGTTAGTTACAAATACTTCATGTTACCAGGTGAGCAGAGGAGGAAACGGAGCAATGTTGTGCAGGAGTGCTCAGCTAGGATAACTGGGTCAGCTGCATGGGGTTTGGGGAAGGGAAAATCCTTGTGCTCTGACCAGTTTCTCAAAAGCAGATGTTTTGAGCTAAGTTGTGTTCCTGATCCAGAGAAGGCCTCCCCCTGCCACCTCCCTCCCAAGACTCCTCTGAGGGTTTAAAAAAGTAAGTGCCTGACTCTGTAGCAGACCCACTCAATAGGAATCTTGAGGTACTTGAGAATTCACTGTCCGTCCTGTGGCAGGTGCTGTGTGTGCCAGTACAGTGAGAACCTCCAGGGATGTGCCTCTGCCACTCCGTGAGCCCAGTTGTCCCTTCTCATCCTTACCGTATTGCCCTCAGCCAGACCTGTATGAAACAAGGACAGGTGGCCCAGTTATCAAGCAGCAGTTTCATGTCGTTGTGGTCTTATATCCCTGTAGAAGTTGCTTGTGGGTGAAGACGTGACAGGGTCACCCCAAGGGGTGGTTTGCTGAGCGCAGGTTATGAGACCTGGCCAAGCCATTTCTAGTCTATATGCCCCCAGGTAGCTTACCCTCCAGACCTGGACTCCCTAATCTTGGTGGGTACAGCAGTCCCAGAGAGGAAACCGTGCTGTCAGCTGGAAGTGTTACAAAGATGTTAAATATGTGTACGCAAGTTTTGTTATTTAATAGCACAGTTTTTATCTCTGGTGGCAGACTTAAATTTTATCCTGCCTCTCGGGCTCCAGAAGTGTCTCTTGGCTGTCACCAGAAAGATACCAAAACAACCCAGAGAGAATCGAAAGGGAGGCAGGAAGGCTTCTCCATCGAGGAGAAAGAGGCTGCAACCTCATCACCAGTGCAGGGCAGCAGACCCAGCAGGAGGCAGGGGACTAGCTGCCTGCCGTGTGCTTGGCAGTGTTGGAAACACTCGGTACTCGTGCTAACGTGTTTACCCCTCACCAGAACCCTGCAAGGTGAGGTGTAACATTTACTCACCACTTGGCAGATGAGGAAGGAGGACTACTTAGTGCAGGAGCTGGCATTTGATCCAGGCCATCCTGCCTCAATGCCATACTCTTGATTACTATACTCTGTTGCCCTCGGTAAATAATATCGGTTATAACTAATTTGTGCCTTCTTTCTGTTGCAGGAAGGAGTTTTTCGATGGCTGCAAGGCAATAAGTGCAGACAGCATTGACGGGATCTGTGCGCGGTTCCCTAGCCTCTTAACAGAAGCCAAACAGGAGGATAAATTCAAGGATCTCTACCGGTTTACATTTCAGTTTGGCCTGGACTCTGAAGAAGGGCAGCGGTCACTGCATCGGGAAATAGCCATTGCCCTGTGGAAACTAGTCTTCACTCAAAACAACCCTCCAGTATTGGACCAGTGGCTAAACTTCCTAACAGAAAACCCCTCGGGGATCAAGGGCATCTCCCGGGACACTTGGAACATGTTCCTTAACTTCACTCAGGTGATTGGCCCCGACCTCAGCAACTACAGTGAAGATGAGGCCTGGCCAAGTCTCTTTGATACCTTTGTGGAGTGGGAAATGGAGCGAAGGAAAAGAGAAGGGGAAGGGAGAGGTGCACTCAGCTCAGGGCCCGAGGGCTTGTGTCCCGAGGAGCAGACTTAGTGGCTCTGTCCCAGGAGCAGCAGCAAAGAGCTGCCTGCTGTCCTGCAGCCAACCAAGGAATTGGACCTTTCTGGAAATTACTGAAGATCCGGATATTTTCTACTTTACACCTTTCTCTGCCTTGTATCTGAAAGGGCTCTAAAATGCTGTATCATGTTTTAGGCACTTTCTTCATTTTTTGGTTATTTTGGTTATTTCTTTTTTTTGGGGGGGGTAATCCCCCAAAATATTTGAACCTGGCTACATGTTGTGTATCTTTTTTTGAAGCCTTCAGATAGAATAAGTCTGCCATTTCTTGCACAAATTGGATGATTTTTTTTTTTTTTTTGGTGGGGGCCAGTATAGAGCCGGGTGGGGGGAATGGGACTGTTCGGTTGAATTAACATTACAAAATGATACAGTGCCAGATCTCAGTTTTGCATACTGTTTTTCAGGGCAGGTCTGTACTGTGTGTAGTGCTGTTTACATGGTTGAATTTAGGTTGTAATAATTATTTTTAAAGATTTACACAGATTTTGAGTAGCAGTGTTAACTGTTAACCACATTGCATTAATTTCCAGACAAGTTTAGAGCTCTTGGGGAGCTGAGGCCAGTCAAGAGCGTTTGTGTAGTCTGGTGATAACTTCCCTTTTAAGCTAATTTATCCAAAACCCTTATTTCCCTCACTTCTTGCTCATTCCTTCTTTGACCTACTGCATTTCATGTTGAATTTATCCATGAACATGCTGCACCTGTCAGTCAAGTGAGCAGTGTTTTTTCTTTTTCTTTTTGGACACATTGTACTGAGAACCACTTAAGCATTGAATACAGAGAAAGCAGTGCTACCTCAGTTTTGCTGGAAGTAGACTTATTTGATAGTTTTCTTTCGTTGATGAAGTTTCTGTATTTTCATGTTGTTAAGTGGAAATACTTTTTTTGTTTTTTTGTTTTTTTTTTTTTTCATTTGCTTTGGAGCCAAAGTTTCTGTTCCTGGTGGTCGGAATATGGTGCCTGCCGGCCAGCTGACTTGAAGGAAAACTGTGGTATGGAGCTCTGCTTGAATTATTTTTTCTCCTTAATTTTCCTTTCTTTACGTATCATCAGCTTACTTGTCTGGCAAGTGCAGAAGCCTGGGGCTGGCCTGAACTCTGCCAAACAGATATCAAAGTGTATTTAAGAGCTAAACGTGTGCCCTTTCCCTTCTTGCTGCACCCATGTTGTCACTTACCCCCCAGGAGTTATTTATTCTTTTTGTTAATGTCAGGCTCATTTGGGGTAATGTGATGACTGTTTAGGTTTACATGACCCTCCTCTCCTTCCCTTCCCCCAAATATGTATATATACATATATAAAATATGTATATATTTTACCTATATAAAATATATATATATACACATATATGTATCTATATTCCTTCATTTCTTTGCCTGCTAAAACTGGCCATAAAAGAGGGAGCTGCCTTCAATGTATAAAGTCTAAGAGTGCCAGGGGATGTCCTAATGGAGGCTTTCCTATCTGCGTTTGGACCGTGTTCACTGATGGCATGAATTCACTTGGCCCTTTCCTCACAAGAGGGGCCTGGTTCCCCAGGCTCCTCCACACACTTGGTCCAGACGGCCAGCTCTGGCCAGACTGCCACAGGGGCCTGAGGAGCTGACTCTGGTCCTAACTGATTTTTAGTAGAGGGTCCTCTTGTTATTTTTCAATTAAAAAAAAATGTCCCCAAAAAACTGTGCTGACGGGTGGGTGGCAGGAACTTGTATAGTTCAGCTTCCAGTACTTTGGAACAGATTTAAAAGGGAATCTTTTAAATAAAAACTTATTAAAACATGTATGCTGTTAAGGTAATGAGAGTTTGTCTATTAAGTATTTAGAGTTTTCTCTGGTAAGCAGTCCTCTCTCCCAGGTACACTTAGGGTTTTCAGCCTGGGCAAGAATTGCATGTTTTGAGTTCCTTTGCTAGTAGCCCTACCTGACCTCCCATCTTTACAAAGATAATTATTTCAGGTTTTGGCAGCCAGTGTTTTCTAAAATTGATACTGACATAGGGAACATATTAATAGTTGGAATTTTAGAAAAAGTCCTGACAGTTGCCCCTCCTAGCGGGGCAGATCAGTCACAGCAGGGTAGCAGGACTGCTGGCAAGCTGAAGTAGGAGTCTCAGGTCAGGATTCTATCCTTGTTCTAGCTAAATAAGATGCAAGATCCTTGTAAAAATGTTGTCAGGGGGCCCCAGGAGGTAGACACACCCAGACTATCATCTTTAATTGTAGCTAGTTCGCCACTCCTGATTTTTCCTAATTCTGGATTTTGTAGAGGTTAAGCGAAGGAAAACACAGGCTGCTGTTAGCCAGACAAGGCCTTTTCCATCACAGATCAGAAGCACAGATGGGAAGGAAGAGCCCAAAAGAGCAACACAGCCGACTCTGAAATGAGATCCTCTGCTCATCCTTCCAGAAGGCATTCCATGCATTAGGTGCATTAGTGGATGGTTCTGGTTTTTTTTTTTTTTTTTTTAATATGAACTATTCAGCATATCTTTCCCCTACAAAAGAACTATTTATTTTTTGGTTATATTTTTGATGATTTCATTTTTTTTACAAAAATGCAAATAAGAAACCAGAAGAGGGAGCAGTCAGGGAGGGACTTAAGGTTCCTTCCTGGTTGAATTCCTTCCTCAGCAATGAATTCAGTAGCTTTGGGTCAGTATGCAACTGTTTTCAGGATCACAGGCAAAGCAGATTTTTCTACTGAGGGATCCAAGGTGGGGTGAATGTAGGGTGTATAGATAATCTTCTGAGAAATGAAAAGCCCCGTTCCTCTCAAGCTAGAAGCAGCTTTGCTGTGGAATGAATGAGCAGTCATTTTGTGGAGGCAGCCAAATGCGTGCCCCTCGGGTAAGCCAGTGCACCTCTCACTTTAGCGATGTTGTGACTCCAGAGTGATGTGACCAGGGGCAGATGTGGATGCAGCATCCAAGGGTAACCACAATAAACTCAATATACTCACATATGTTGGGAAATTACTTGGTTTTGGCAAATGGCTTTGAGCTCCTTTAGCGATTTATTAGCTGGTATGAGATGAAGTCTTGCTTCATTGAATTGCTCTCTCCTTAATCCTTGCCACATTTGAGTGTATCATTCTTAACCCCACCTTCTCTAATAGCACCTCGTCTCAGCTGCTTGCCTTAGCAGTTCTTCCTCATCCTGCGAGATGTGCTCACATGTTGTGTTAGGTCCAGGAACTTATGTCTACTCTTCTGATAAGGGAAGAAGAAAAATCCAGAGGTGAGTGAAGATCCAAATTTCAACCAAACCTCATGGTCCAGGGAAATTAATTGAAAATGTACAAGACAGTGTTTTCAGTATTAAACTTCCCCGTGGAAGGTGTATAAACCAGCCTTCTTGGAAAGGAAGAAAGGATTAAGCCACACAGTATTAGTCTCTGAAACAGTACTGATCTCCCAGGAGCTGCTGCCAAAATTCAGTCCTTGGTGCCGGAGGCTACAAGGGAGAAGCTACCGGGGTAAAGACTTGTCTTACGGTTTACAAAACAGGTTCTATTTCGGACTGTTGGGTTTGCCATATTTCAAATGAAATCTTCAGGGTAGTAAAGCCCAAAGGTAGAGTCAACTATACTGTTATTAAGGTAAGGACTGAACAAAAGCTGCTCCTAGGGATTCTTTGTTCTTTTGGTTTGGCTTTTTTTTTTTTTTTTTTTTGGTGGCTTGCAGTTTTTCTTGTCTGTTATGTTTGGTTAATGACGACTTGAATATCGTGATAACTGACAAAGGTCTTCCTTGGTGGACTTGAATATCTTGGTAACTGACAAAGGTCTTCCTTGGAGGACTCCAGCAGTATATTGTTTAAATGGCTATAAAAGGACTATTACAGTTATTGAAATGTGTTACCCAGGACTCATTTGAGGACATGTGACATTGCTCGTCCTCACTCCATATGTTTTCTGAGTCATTTAGAGGGGGTGCCCACCTACCGCCTTCAAGTTCATTCCCATTGTAAGCCGTAACTATGGCATCTATCCAGTTTCACTTGGATTGGGACTGCATGTCAGTGATGACCAGCAGGGTGTTTTTTTTTTTTTCTTTCTCAAAGAAAATAAATAAATTGATGCTTGAGCCCTGGTTGCAGAAGCCAAGATGGCTTGCATTAAACATCAGGTTCTGCTTCTGCTTCAGATGCTGGGGCATCTTGTCCTCCCCATTCCTTGCTAGAAACCCAGCTTGCTCTCAGATACTCACTTGTCTACCACCCACCTTTTTTCCTCACTGCTGTCAACACAAATCTTTGATGTTGCCAAAGGAAGCCAGCTGTTTGTTTTGTCCCCCTGCTTCCCTAACACATAGATGCGCTCTGGAAGTGTCTTCTGACTCTGGTCCCCAGCTCTCTCGTCTGTGATCAATTGCTCTTACCTGTTGCACTAATGAGTATAGTTCTAAGTTTCAAAGGGGGAATTTGAAGCAATAGGCAAATGGGGCATGGATGGTTTGGTCCTACAGGTATCCTGCCTTAAGCTGTCGAGGTGATGAGTCCACTGCTCATGTGACCCTCCCCCACTGTTGTGGATCCCTCTTGGTTTGTGACCAGCGTGTCTATTTCTTGGGGCTGTACAAACTTGACAAAAGTTAATACTTTTGATTGTGTTCTCTGCACTGTTGCACTCTTCAAATGGCCCCTTGAATATTTTTATTAACTTGTTACACACATTTTTGTCTTTGATGTCTACATTATTTTTTTCTTTTGATGTTTTATTTGGAAGGTTATCTGCTGTTGGATTTAATAAATTTGTTTACTTGATTATTGACATTTCTGCCAGAAAAAAAAAAGTGACTTTATTCTGGGGGCAAGATTTATCCACAAGGACCCTCTACAAACACACTAGATAACAAGTGAGTGCTTTGGGAAATAGCCCAGATGGTACAGGATCCCTGGACTCCCAACATAGGTGTGTTGACGCCCCACACCTGCTTTTAGGATCTCAGTACTTAGATGCAACAAAGCAAATCAGTTCTTATTGGGCCACTGACTAAATAGTTTGGACAACTGATGTGAATTCCCCTGGGCATCAAAAAGTGAGTTTGAGTACTCTGAAGTCCATGGCTTCTAGATCTGTCTGGCAGTGATCATGACAAAGGGCACCTGATCTTTCAGGTGCCACTGCTGAATGACCCTTGGCAAGTTAGTGAACTTCCAAATTGCCTTTTACTCATCTGTCAAATTAAGAGACTCCTACTCATAGATTTCAAAGAAAGTATTTATAAAACACCGAAGAGCAACAGACTTTCTTGAGTCTCCAAAAGGATGTTAGCTGAAGCAAACAGACAAGGAGAGAGGGGTCGGCATGGTCACACATGAACCTCTACAAGTCACTGCCCCTCTGAGGGGCTGGGTATGTTTGTATGTGGTCTTAGATTAGCATGATCCCCAAGACTCCCATCTGCCTCAAAATTCTGGAAGCCTAATTACAAGGGCCTACTATGATCCCAATCTTCCTTCCATTATCTTTTCTATTTATTGTTTATATTCAGGAAAACTAATGACCAGTCCTTTTACTCATGTCTTTGATGGAGGCTCTGATGCACTCCCTCCTCCCTAGATTCCCAGCTTCATGTTGGTATCCTAAAAATAATGAATCCAGTCGTGGAACTGAATGTACTTTTTCTACCAATTGCAAAGGACTCGGGAGTCAAGGTTTCTGAGGCTTCTGAAATGAATTGGATCCCCCCACCCTGTATTAGCAAGGTCAGCATCAGGTGGGGTCAGAAAGGCAATCTAGAGGTGACTTTCTCACTTAGAAAGTAAAAGTGTTCCTCCAACCATGTACTTAGTCCCATCGGCTCCTGGGCTGCCTCTGTGCTTTGACCCTTCTGAGTAATCAAGCCCAGCCAAAGCTTTATAAACGGGTTTGAGGAGTAACAAAAAGATTGCTGATTCTGGTACTTATTTGGAGCTTACAGCTTGAATATGGATTACATATAACTATGTGTACTATATGGATTATATATGGCTATAATAAAGTATATACTATATGGGCTATGACTAAAATCCAATTTTCACTTAGATGAGGGGCAAGCAGTTTCTTCACATATTGTTAGAAGACCTTAACTACTTGTGGGATGGACTTTGTTTTAGCAAGGAAGGTATAATGAAGGCAGTGCTTGGGGTCCAGAGCAGTACAGAAGAGTCAGTGTAGCACTGGCCTCTTCCCTGCTGTCTGAACCATTTGCAAAAGCACTTGGCTGGATTGACTCTGAAAATCATCCCTTTAACTATAGGATTTATTTTTTCTTCTAAGATTTATTTGAAATGCAGAGAGAGAGAGAGAGAGAGAGATCTTCCATCCACTAGTTCATTTCCCAAATGGCTGCAACAGCCAGGCAGAAGCCAGGAGTGAGGAGCTCCATTCTGGTCTGCCACATGGGTGCAGGGGGTATAGGTACTACAGCCATCCTCTCCTTTCCCAAGCACATTAACACAGAGCTGGACCAGAAGTGGAGCAGCCAGAACTCAAACCAGTGTTTCAACATGGGATGCCGGCTGTAGCTTAACCCACTGTACCACAGCACCAGCCCCTAGCTCTGGGTTTTGATCCAGTTTGAAGGTTAGTCTGCCTAGGAAGGAGAGGTTTGGCCCAGTTTCCCCTTCCTTTACTTTGACTTGAGCATATCCTATCTTGAAGTCCTAAGGCTCCCATCTGGATTTAACATTCTTTGTGTGGTATTCTAACTTTATTCAGTCTCTTGCCTCAGAAGCATTGAGAAAGTCGTAGTTGGAATACAGCAGCACTAATGCAGTCAGCAAAAACATTTTTACTCTGTAGTGTTTTGTAATTCATGCTGATGGGACTCTTCCGTGGACCCTGGGCTTATTTGGGGTGGTTTCTGGTGAAATTACTACTGCATTTTAATATATATCTACAAAATATGTGGTACCAGTCCAAGATAAGATAGAATATGGATTCAACATATTGAACATAAATGGACTCAAAAAGAACACCCTCCTTTATTGGGTAAGTAAAGATAGAAAATTGAAGAAAACGAAATATTTGGGAGAAAGTTGTTAGTATATGCTAAAGTAAATGTGAGAAGTAAGGGTATACGAGAAAAATTATAAATGCATAAACTTGTCAATGAATGTTAAATTGGTCTCTGTCAGTTGGGACTTTCTAAGCATTAAGGCAAAACAGAAGAAATTACAAAAAAAAAAATAAGCTTTAAAGCTTATCTACCTTGGGCCGGCACCGTGGCTCAACAGGCTAATCCTCCACCTAGTGGCGCCGGCACAGCAGGTTCTAGTCCCGGTTGGGGCGCCAGATTCTGTCCCGGTTGCCCCTCTTCCAGGCCAGCTCTCTGCTGTGGCCAGGGAGTGCAGTGGAGGATGGCCCAAGTGCTTGGGCCCTGCACCTGCATGGGAGACCAGGAGAAGCACCTGGCTCCTGCCATTGGATTGGCGTGGTGCACCGGCCGCGGCGGCCATTGGAGGGTGAACCAATGGCAAAGGAAGACCTTTCTCTCTGTCTCTCTCTCTCACTGTCCACTCTGCCTGTCAAAAAAAAAATAATAATAATAAAATAAAATAAAGTTATATATTAAAAAAAAGCTTATCTACCTTAAGGGGCAGGGATTTTAACCTGAAAGTTAAGACACCTGGTCCTCTACAGCAGTACCTGGGTTCAGTGCCCAGCTCTGGTTCCTGCTAATGAACAAGTGGATACTAATCAGTCAGTACAGAAAAACTACTTTGACTTCCAAACAGAAAAATGGCAAAATATACATGGACAATTCAGTTAAGAAAAATTGGCCAAAAACCTTCTAGAAAAAGAAGTTGGATGCCAACCTAAAGGGTATTCAAATAAATAAAAATTAGCACTACAATAGAAAACTTTACTTCACCTATGAAATTATCAAGAACTTGAATGCCAACAGACTTTTAAAAAGCTTTTTGGAATTAAAAGATACCTTAAGTATTTCTGCTTCTCAACCCAGTAATTTGTTTTTTTAAGATGTATTTATTTGAAAGGCAGAGTTACAGAGAGAGGTCTTCCATCTGCTGGTTCACTCCCCAAATAGCTATAAAAGTCAGAGCTGGACCAGGTCAAAGCCAGGAACCTGAACTCTGTCTCACACTTGAGTGGCAAGAGCCCAAGCACCTGGGCCATCTTCCACTGCTTTCCCAGGTGCCTTGGCAGGGAGCTGGATGGGAAGTGGAGCAGCCACGACTCAAACTGGCGCCTGTATGGGATGCTGGCATGACAGGAGGTGTCTTAACTTGCTATACCACAACACCAGTAATTTTCTTTTAGAAGCATAAGAACATATGTGCAAAGATAGAATTGATAAGATCCTTGCAGAAAAACCTCATTGTCAACAATGCACATCTGTTGTCTTAGCAATTATAGCAGACATCAATGTTGGAATATTATATAGTATTAAAAGCAGCTTTTGAATAGTGATGGAAAAGTTTGGATTAAAAGACTGCAAAATCTTGGCAGTCATGGACTCTGGGTGGTGTGCTTAGGTGTTGCTTTAATTTTTCAGAATTTTTCAAAATTTTCACTTAAATGAACTTCCTTTATAAAAGGGAAGAAGTTATTTACAAAAAGGACAAAAAAGAAATGAAATTGAACATGGATTACAGTTTTGAACAATCCCACCTTGGATAAGGAGGCAAGAAAATGGTGGTAGTATGTTAAAGGCCTAAAAGAAGAGTTTTGTAAAAACCTTGGAGTTGCTTTTTCACCCCAAATGAGAAGCTGCTTCTCCAGCAGCTGCTTTGGCAGCTCTGCATTGGCTGCTTCTAAGGGTGTGGGAGGAAAAATGCACAAACGCACTTACGAGTGGAATGTGTGTTTTGCAAGAGGCCAAGTTGGCAGCCTTGGCTTCCAAAAGGTGGGAGCATCAGCCGAAAGAACAGAGTGTGCAGACTGAAATCTTGGAGGCCTTGTGGTTCAGGTCCTTTTCTGTTTCTACAGATTCTGCAGTTGGGGCCCAGAGGAAATCTCCAGTCGCACCCACCTGAGAAAAGGAAATGACCTTAGCTCTTCTTGCGAGCAAAGGGTATGCTTCTGGTATAGGGCACCCTAATCTGCTCTTCCTGCATGCCAGCGGTGATCCTTAGTAAAATACTGTCGTTTACTGAGCACTTAATCTAGGCTTTCCCCCAATTTAGTTCTCGTAACAAGTTTTATAATGTAGGACTCATTTCCCTATTAAAGATGAGGAAACTGAGGCACAGAAAGGGAAACTAATTCATACGTAGCCCACAAGTGGGATCTTTGTAGTTCCACAGTTATCCTTAAAAGTAGATATATACTCAGTTTATACAGCTGTGGAAATGGGCCCAAATGAGGTTGAGGTTAAGTAACTCACCTAAAAACATTCAGAAGCAGAACCCGAAGCTCCAAACCAGGCCTGTCGGTATCCAAGGGAGGGACTTACTTATCCTTGAAGACTGGAGCATCCAGAGGTAAAGAGCAAGTAAGCTCTCAGAGCTTTGGAGCTCAGCTGGGTGGGAGGGAAGCCAGCAATGCTGTCAGTTTGAATTTGTTCTGGGGGCCTTGCAGCTGGGGCTGGCAGTGTACCTGACAGAGGGTCTTGTTCAAATTCTAGCAGCCCAATCCAAAATGCAGCTCTTTAGTCTGGTTCCTATAGGGCTGGATCTTAAAGAAGCTACATTTAAAAGATTAAACACACTTCCCCGAATGTTCAACCTTCTGAACTTTTTTCTGACCATAGCAGCAGTATATGCTGAATACTGGAAGAAAAGTCCAGTCTCCATGTAGGAATATATTTGGTAGAACTTTCTGCCAATCTTGTTCCAAGCCTGTGCATAGCTTTGTGTGTGTGTGTGTGTGTGTATTTAAGATTTATTTATTTGAAAGGCAGAATTAAAAAGAGAAGGAAAGACATGTTTCATTTGCTGGTTTACTCCCCAAATGGCCACAGTGGCCAAGGATGCGCCAGGCTGAAGCCAAGAAGCTTCATCAGGGTCTCCCATGTGGGTGGCAGGGGCTCAAGTACTTGGGCCATGTTCCACTGTGTTCCCAGGGGCATCAGCAGGAAGTAGAGCAGCCGGGACTTAAACCTGTGCCATATCAGATGCTGGGGTCATAGGTGGCAGCTTAACTCACTATGCCACAGCGCTGTAAATTTTTCCCTACAAAATGGACTCAAACTATTCAATTCTGTAGTCCTCCACACTTTTTTGTACCATCCTGTGACTGCATAATCTCATTTATCTTTGCAGTAGTCCCATACGTACCCTTATCCTGAGCACAGTACACAAGTAATAGGTAAAAAAGCTGAGAGTTAAAGTCACGACATTCTGAATCCTGATGTTTGCTGCCTCTTGCAGGTCGTTTCCACTGCTGATTCTGTTTATATGCACACACAGTCATTAGAACTCCACTGTAATAACTCTTTAGTGCCTCCTTCATACATGTTTTTGTGAAACTTATTACCTCAGGGTAGTACTTGACAAGTGGAACTGCCAAGTGTTCAGTGCATTGAGCAGTTTACAAAGTGTCTGCTCTGATCACACTGTATGCCGCATTAGGACAGCAGTTAATAATGCTACCAGTTTTGGAATTGTGTGCCTGTATTCCATATCCTTTCCAATATTATATATATAATATGAGAGTCAATTAAAAAGCAGAAAAGTGGCTTTTACTGAATTATGGTTCCAGTTCCTAGGGGGAGAGCTGATATAATGGAGGCACCTACTGGGGAAGAGTGGCATTGCAGGAGTATCTGAAGAAAAAAAAAATCCTAAACATGAACTGGAATGAGGTTCCCAGGGTTTGTAAAAAGCTGTGGTGAACTTGCCAGATTTTCAGTTTAGCCTGTCAATTTTGTAGCACCTGTCAATGGTAACAATTTGCTTTAAAAAAAATTGGTGTGGCATGGGGGTAAAGCCGCCACCTGCAAGGCCAGCATCCCATATGGGTGCCAGTTTATGTCCTGGCCACTGCACTTATGATCCAGCTCCTTTGCTAATGCCCTGGGAAAGGCAGCAGAAGATGGCCCAAGTGCTTGGGCCCCTGTGTCCATGTGGGAGACTGGAATGAAGCTCCTAGTTCCTGCCTTCAGCCTTGCCCAGCACTGCCCATTGCAGCCATCTGGGGAGTGAACCAGCGGATGGAAGACATTCCTCCCTCTCTCTCTCTTTCTCTCCCTCTCTCTAACTATGACTTCCAAAATAAATCATTAAAAACAAAAACAAATAACTTTTTTTTTTTCACTGCAGATACTGCAGCTTTGACAAACTACAAAACTTGTCGGGCTTTCACCACGGTGAAATCACTCCTTGTTGGCTTATCTGTACCCTTTTATAAGAGTGCTATATGAACAAGCATCTGTGTATATAAACCCAGTGACACAAGAAACACACTTGTTTCTTTCCCCACCTTGTCTTAAGATGAGGAATGTTTGACCTTAGAGGTATTTATTAAAGATTTGAATATACCATATAAATGAACTAAACTCCTGATGATATAGCTAGTATCCCCATAGCAACTTCCCACAAATGCTTCTGCATAGAAAGGACGGAAGCCTCAGGAGAGGCTATGGCCTAACCACCTTCTCTGCCATTGCCCATGAAGGGTAAGAAATGGGGCACAGGAAATGGTGGGCAGACTCACAAGCACATGTTTGGAATGGTGCTTTCCTCTTCATCTTTTATTCCCACTAGTCCCAAGCCAGAGAGTGCTCCATGAATGCTGCAATAAATGAGGAATGAAGACAGACTTACTCACAGGGCCGACTGAAGGGTAAATTACTTGAGTATGTGTGTGTGTCATGGAGCTACAGGCAAGCAATTTTATGGAAAGCAGCCTGCTCAATGGAGAGGCCTACATTCAAATCCTAGCTCTGTCACCTAAAGAGATGTGAGACATATCTCAACCAAGCCTCATTTCTTTAACTACAAAACTATTAAATATTGAAGTGACTGTGTCAGAGAGCCTTTTCTGAGGACTACAGACAATGATGGCCAACACACTTAGCACTTACTAGATGGCCAAGGGTAGTTTTAAGCACTGTCTCATTGAATCCTTCAGGATGGCTCACTGATGTAGGTGCAACTGTTATCTTCATTTTTCAAGTAAAGAAATAGGCTCATAGACAACATAAGTAGCAGAACCAGGATTTCAATACTGGCAATTAGTCACCAGATTCCTTGTAAATTGCTATAAGAATCTTGTCTTTCATTTAAACACCTGCAGCCCTACTGTGTGCCAGGAACTGTTTAAAAACCTTTACACAACATTAATTTAATAACGTGTACTGTAAAACACCTGACACAGTACATAGAATTCAGGAGTCACCTAATAACATGCCATTTGGTGATGAACATTCATGGTATTAGGTTAGAGAGTTGAGCTCTAGAAGGCAAATGAGGAAATAAAAGAATACAGAATCTGTCTCCATTTACTATCCACACTGAAGCTAGTAAGCACTATCCTTTTGGACATGGAGGACTGGAGCACTAATGGCAAGAGAGTGGATCTGGAGTCAGAGCAACAGGGTTCAAATCCTGACCGTGTACTTAACAGCTGTGTGACCTGAGCATTTCTCTATAGGAATTCTAATGACCTAACCAAAAATGTACATAAAAGGATTTAGCACAGTTATCTAATGCTTATGGATTCTGGGGGTAAACTATAGCAATTATTAATATTTCCAATATTATTTTCAGCAGCTACTGGAAATGTGAAGAGTTGAGTCAGGTCTTCAGCCTGAGGAGAACTTCTGTTCTCTTTGCCTCTTCCTGAACCACTTGGTTTCCCAAGGATATCTGCTGGAGCCATGAAGGCAGCTCCACATGGCTAGAGTACAACTTCTAAATGAAAGGAGTTACTTGGTGCTTCCAGAAGTTCCTATTCTTTTGACTTGGAATCTTTGCCTTTGTCAAACCCTAAGCTTCTTTGCTACCTGACCCCGACACTCCCTTTAGTCAAGCCTTCACTCTTTGTGGAATATCCAGACCACTTAAAGAAGAACACTTCGGGTCACTCGTTTAGTTTACTTGTAAAATAGGGGACTACAATCTAAGTACTCTACTTACAAACATGAAGATCCAGTCTTCAGTTCTCTCCTTACCTCCATATGCTCTGGCCCTGAAGAGCTAGCTAAGAGCAAGTCTGTCCACTAGGGCCTTTGCTCTTAACCAAAAAGCTCTACTGGCAGTTCTGGTCACTTTTTAACCTATTGCTGTCAGCCTTTTAAACTAAGATTTTTTTATCCTGCATAAGCACATATTTGTTTTTGCTTCTCAGACAGCAGTTCTTTCAAGTTGCAGGTAGACGGTATCACTAGTAGCTGTCAGATGCATAATATAAAAACTTTATAAGAAATTCTGATTAAGGTTTTAAGGCTTGAGATATTGCCTTAATATTGACATTGCCTAGAATGTCAGACTCTTACGGGCCTTTTTAGAACTTAACACAATCCAGTGATTTTTTTTCCAACTGCTCAAATAAAAGCCACTCTCTTCCTCCAATCTGTATACTCATTCATGCTTCTACCCACTCATTCCAGAACTGCTTGTCTTTATGCTTTAGCATTTAACATCAGTTTCTCTTTAATGAAAGTGTTTACAGTTAAAAGGGTTTAAAATCACTTGATTTACTCCAAATCACTCATGTTATTGAAGGGAAATGGAGATCTCTGTCAGCAAATGGCTTGGACACTTCCAATTGATAGGTGATGGAACTGGAACTGGGCCCAGAGTCCTATTCCAGTGTTGCTCAGGCTTAGAATCAGTGAAACAGACCCTTCTCTCTCTTAAAAGTCAAGAGTTAGCAATAGAGGAAAGGGCAGGAACACACTCCGGTAAGTGAGAAGGGTCAGCAGGCCCTGGTTACACCTAAGCCTGGGCCTTGCTTGTCCTAGGACGTCTTGATCTTTTTTACTCAAGTGGGGTTAGGAAGCTACTACCTACCCAGAGGGACTACAGGACATTAAGGCCTGTGGTTTTAAACAGGATGAGCTATCTCCTTGAGTGACCATTAATATAAGAACCAAAAATGTGAATGGGACTATCTTAGAACTTTGAAGATTAAGAGATGATTCATGGAAGTCCTCATTATGTCTGGACATCAGCAAAAAGTCTTTCTGAACAGCTAAATCCAGGGGCCACAAAGATAACCACCTCAGTCTTACCTCTGGGTTCCCGGCAGCAGGATGAGGCAGAGGGTCCCAGGACACAGGCTGCGGTACAGCTTCTCAATCTTCCGGCCCCAGCGCCAGGCTGCTACCTTCGGGTGGTCCACCTTCAGAGTCTGGGATCAAATCCACATGTCAGCACTCAGCCAGAGCACTCTCGGAGGCTCACACGTACAGGGGCTGATCACTTCCTCAGGCGCCAGGGCCATCGGATCCCAGTGAATAAAGGCATTGGATAAATCCCCTCCTGGAGCTGGAGCCCACATTTCAAGTGTTCCATGCAACCAGCATCCTGAGATACTCAAGTTGGCTTATGACCTCCTCAAGGAGGATGGCAATGGTCATTTTTTTTCTCCAGATACATCACCTGGGGCCCCATGGTAGGGGAGCCACATCACTAATGTTGCCTCTGGCCTCACCTCTGCCATTAATCATCATTGTGAAACGAAGATTAGGTGTCACTTTTCCCCAAAGATTCAAATATGGGGAATCCTCTGCCTGCTGGTATTGGGAGATGGGGTCCTTAGGCCTTGGGTGAATGCCCTCAGCATTGTGAGACCTCAGTCTCTCTGGCTTCCTGTTTGGTGGCTGATGTGATCTCTTCCCTATACACACGCTTCCGGCACTGCCATCTGCCAAGAGGGGAACCTTGCCAGAACATGCATTACGTCCTCTGCATGTTCAGGCTCCACAATGGTGAGCTAAATAAAATAAACCTCTTTTCTTTATAAACTTAACCTGCCTCAGGTATTTCCTCATAGTAACAACAACAAAAAATAACCTAATACATTGATATTGGGAAAGTCACTGACCAGCTCTGGCCTCTATTTCTCATCAGCTAGGTGCGGTAGATTAGACTAGGACAGGGTTCCTCAAGCTTCGGCCATTTACCTTCTATCTCTACTCTCCTGCCTTTGTATCCCTAATGTTTTTCTTTAATGTGAGTCCATTTCTTCCAGAGCCTTGTCTTAGTGATACTACTGATGTAATCATAGGTTCAGTAAGTTTTTTTCAGTGAATGTTAGAAATAGAGTAGATCTATGACAATGAAAATTATCGTGTGTTCTACGCTTTGAGAAATCCTAGACTAGATCACTGAAGATTTGTGTAGCTCTCCAGTCTCTTGCCTCGGTCCCTCAAAGTCCTTTGAAGAGCCACCTTGAATCCTAAAATCCTAATTTTAGCAGGTATGGATAGGGCAAAACATATCAGAGATGTGGCAGAAAAATCCATGTGGCCAAGAATGGAGGAAGCTGGGAAATGCTGTAAGACTGGGGCCAGGGAAGAAAAAAATAGATTGTCAGGGGGGGTGTTTGGCGCAAACAGGTAAGACTGCTTGGGATGCGTGGATTTGAGTCCTGGCTTGACTCCTGAACCCAGCTTCCTATGAATGTACACTCTAGGAGGCACCAGATGATGGCTCAAGTAGTTTGATCCCTATGACTGACAGGAGAGACCCAGGCTGATTTCCTGGCTACCAAATGGCCCAGGCCTGGCTGAAGTGGGCATATGAAGAGTGAATATGCAAATAGGAGATCTCTGCCTATCTATCTCTGCCATTCAATTAAATATATAAAGGGTTAAGTGTCACTGAGCAGAGCTCTCCTAATTTCCAGAAACGGAAGACCAAGGCACAAAGCCAGCAAACTAGAGCAGCTGTCTTCCCTCTATAACTCCACAATACACTCCCTCACTCACCTGCAAGGACTGCTGTTCTGATGGGGAAGGTATGACATGGAGTCCTGGAGGGCTTCTTGATTCAGGCGGTAAGCCCCTGAGCCATGTGTGGAGGTGCCTAGGGGTAAGGGCATGCCTGCCTTTCAGCTTCCACTCCTTGCCTTTGAGAATGGTAAGGGCCCTTTGGGCACTGCCAAAAGTTTTGAATTCTGAAAGCAAGAACACCCCCACCTTGTGTTAGCAAGGGCCAAGAAAGCAGATCACCACCTAAGCTGGAGCCCAGCCAGAGCCATGGGAAGACAGAATCAGGAGCTGCTGCTCTGGTCCAGCCCAGAGCTTGTTAGGCGAGCCTCTCCTTCTCCGACCTCACACATCACCATTCCCAAAGCTATAGTCAGTGGCATAGACTTACTCAGGAAACAGTATTTTTTCGGCATTCCACTTTTAAGGTCTTTAGGCAAGATCACAGCTTCCAAGCCAAGGAAGAGGCTGGACTGCTGCAACAAGCAGTCTTTGAAGTTTTCATTCACTCCAGACAGGTAAATAGTACCTCGGTTCTCAGAATCTAGTTCCAGCTCATTCACAAGGGTGTCACCATCAAGGGTGAGCTCAGTCACAGGCCTCTGCACCTGACGGAGAAGAGGAGTTAGTGCTGGCAGTCACCACTTTAACCCTCAGGCCTGCTGTAAACCATCAAGTAACCTAACTTTGTGGTTTTCCAATCTGTACACAGAGGCTGATGATAACCACCTCAAAGAATTGTGATACCAAACTGATAAATACACAACTATACATAGTTTTCATGGAAATATATGCTATTCAGTTTACTTTCTGACACCTTCAATGAAATTCTATTTGCATAAGGAACTTCAAAATAGAACCATCTGATCTCCCTGAAAGCTGAAGCAAAGAGCAACCAGAACAAATCATCTGTGGCCTATGTAGTGATAAAGAATACACGGAAGACCCCACTCTAGCCCAGGTGGGTTTTGACCAAAATTAAAGCTGTCAAGTCTGAGGTCACTGCTAGGAGAACGCCAGACTTGGTAGAAGACTTTCCTTCAGAACAGGAAGTCTTGTGCCTGCACTTCTCCAGAGTATTTCTTACACGTCTTGGAGCACTGTAAATAAAGGCTGTGCCAGACCAGGCCTGAGTGAAGGGGGCTGCTTTTGGCTTCCTCTGGGCCACCCTACCTTGATGCAAATGCCTTCCACCAGGATGCCATCCAAGGACTCTATGGCCAGCTGGGCAGCTTCCAGAACTTCATATTGAACACAGAGATGAGGCTGCAGAAAAGACAAGATTCCTCCTCATTGCTTTCCAGCTCAGTCTGCAAGAGGGGCTGGGAAAGGGATCCAAACCATAATGGCCAAGGCCACTAGAATGGATGCCCGTGCCATGGTACTCCAGACAGAGAATGCAGACGGTAAATGTTAATGAAATTTAAGATTTGTCATTTAGAAAAAAATTTTAAGATTTACTTAGTTAGTTACCTGAAAGTCAGAGTTAGAGAGAGGGACACAGAGAAAAGAAACCTTCCATCTTTTGTTCACTCACCAAATGGCTGCAATGGCCAGGGCTGGGCCAGGTGGAAGCCAGGAGCCAGGTGCTTTATTCAGGTCTCCCACAAGGGTGCAGAGTTCCAATGATTTGGGTCATCTTCTGCTGCTTTCCCAAGACCATTAGCAGGAAGCTGGATTGGAAGTGCAGCAGCCAGGACTTGAACTGGTACTCGTAGGGGATGTCAGTATCGCAGGCAGTGGTTTAAACAATTATGCCACAACACCGGCCCCAATCATTTAAAACTGAAGCCCACTGACCTGGGTAGTATGGGGAAAACACTAACAAATTCCTTATTATGTAATTTGCTTTTCAAAATATTTATTATTCAATAAAGTCCTCATTTTTTTATTATTCAATAACAGTCCCACTTGCCTGTTAGTTTGATTTTAAGCAGCTTTCTTATTAACTTGGGAGGCTAAGTTCTCCTACTGGATAGATCACATCTTCAAATGGTCTGCTTTGGGGCTGGCGCCATGGCTCAATTGGTTAATCCTCCGCCTGCAGTGCTGGCATCCCATATGGTTGCCGGGTTCTAATCCCAGTTGCCTCTCTTCCAGTCCAGCTCGCTGCTGTGGCCCAAGAGGGCAGTGGAAGATGGCCCAAGTGCTTGGCCCCTGCACCTGCAAGGGAGCCCAGGAGGAAGTACCTGGCTCCTGGCTTCCGATCAGTATAGCTCTGGCCGTAGTGGCCATTTGGGGAGTGAACCAATGGAAGGAAGACCTTTCTAGTCTCTCTAACTCTACCTGTCCCCCCGCCAAAAAAAAAGACACACACACACACAAACGGTCTGCTTTTCTGTCTGATGATTCACAGATAAATCTGCATGATTATCTGAGTCACAGCCTCAACATAGAAATGCTAAAAGCCCATAGGAAAACTTCATGACCCGGAATTTGGCAATGATTTCTTGAATACTACACCAAAGGCAGACAACAGAAGAAAAAATAGACAAATTGGACTTCAACCAAATTTAAAAATGTTTGTGTAACCAAGGACACTATTCAACAATGTCAAAAGACAACCCTTTGGGGAGGAAATATTTGCAAATCACAAATCTAAATAAGAGATTGATGTCTAGACTCCATAGAGAATCCTACAATTCAACAACAAAAACAATATGTTTAAAATATGAAAAAGGGAAGACATTTTGTCTAGCAGTTAAGACTGCAGTTTAGAGACCCACATCCTGCATCAGAGTCCCTGGGTTTGATTCCTGCCTCAGGCTCCTGATTCCAACTTCCTGCTAACGCAAACCCCACAAAGCAGTGGTGATGGCTGAAGCAGTTCAAATAATTGTGTACATGTCACCCACCTGAGAGACCCATACGGGGTTCCTGGCTTCAAGTTTTGGCCAGGCCCAGCCGCAGTCATTATAGGCACTTTGGAAGAAAAATAGTAGATGGTAACTCCTTGGTCACTCAAATTAAAAAAAAAAAAAAAAAGGCAACACCTGTGTAGCTATTTCTCTGGTCATTAGGGAAATGCAAATCATGCAAATCAAAACCAAATGAGGGTCGGTGCCGCGGCTCACTAGGCTAATCCTCTGCCTGCAAGCACTGGCACTCCAGGTTCTGTCCCGGTTGCTCCTCTTCCAGGCCAGCTCTCTGCTGTGGCCCGGGAAGGCAGTGGAGGATGGCCCAGGTGCTTGGGCCCTGCATCAGCATGGGAGACCAGGAGGAAGCACCTGGCTCCTGGCTTCAGATCGGCGCAGCACACCGGCCGCAGCGCTGGCAATAGCGGCCATTTGCGGGGTGAACCAACACAAAAAGGAAGACCTTTCTCTCTTTCTCAAAAAAAAATAAAAAATAAAAATAAAAAAACAACCAAAGGAGATACAACTTCATATCCATCTTAAAAACAGAAAAACCAAGTATCAATGAGGATCAGGAGAAATGAGAACCCTTATTCTTTACTGATGGGAATGTAAAATGGTGTAACCACTATGGGAAACACTTATGGTTCCTCAAAAAAAAATTAACGATTTGATTCATCAATTCCATTTCTGAGTATATAGGCAGGCTAATGGAAAACACCTGTGTTCACAGAAGCATTATTCACAAAATCCACACAGTGGAACAACCTGTGTGTCCATTGACGAATGAGGAGACATACAGAATGATTTATATACACCCACTGGAGTATTATTCAGGAATAATAAAGGATGAGATGCTGCAACATGGAAGAACCCTGAAGACATTACGCTAAGGGAAATAAGCCAGACGCACAAGGACAAATATTGTACAACTCCATTTATGTGAAGTATAAAGATGAGGCAAATTCAGACAGAAAGTAAAACAATCATTAATTACAATGGAGTGGAGGAAGGGAGCAATGAGGAGGAGTTATAAAATACAGTGTCAGTTTGGGATGATGAAAAAGTTCTGGAGATGGATGGTAGTGATGGTTGTGCATTATCAATGTACTTTATGCTGCTCAGAAATGGTTAAAAAGGTAAATTTTGTGTTATAAAAAGTTCATGAAAAATGAAGTTAAGACAAAATTATTTGCAATGTTTTTTAAAATTCATGCATCTGTAGAGTCTCCGAAAAGGTCATGGAAGATGTTGTTATGAAAAAAAACAATGCATTTTATATCAATTTTCTTAAATACTCTCATATTTTTTACCCAAAAAAGCCAACAGAAAGACTTATAGGAAGTGGTTACAGTTCTTTCCCACAAATTTCCCATTTCCCAGTCCAGGAACAATCTTTTTATTTATTTTTTTAGTCACTGGAAAGACATTAATAAAACATTTTAGAAAAGCGTATTTTAAAATATCTAGGATCCTCCATTTAGATCATTTTGGAAGTCTTTTATGTTTTTGCTTCATTTTATTTTTTATTTATTAGAGGCAGAGGGACAGAAAGAGAGATACTGATTTACTCTTTAATTAGCAATAATTGCACCTCAGATAAACCTCATTGGCTACGATACTGCCACTGCACAAAGCTCTGATTTACTCTTTAAATATGTACAACAGCCAGGATTAAGCCAGGCTGAAGCCAAGAGCTGGAAACTCCATTTGGGTCTCCCACATGGGTGGCAGCAACCTAAGTCCTTGAGCCATTATGAGGAAGCTGGAGTCAAGAACAGAGTACTCCTAATGGGAATGGCTTAACCACTACACCCCTGCCCACCCGATTCATTTTAATAGTTATTCATGTACAAGTTTAATAGTTGCCTAGTCTCCAAGTTATAAAGCAGGGAAAGGGAAGCTTTCTTCTGCTAGGGGCCATTTGGATATTTATGACATCATCTGCAGGCCATACAAAATTATCAACTTCAAAGTTAGCCTGCTACAGATTTAGTGGATTTCAAGTCCCACCTGTGGTTGCCTTGGCAGGGCCAGGCCAAATGATTTCGCAGGCCATTTAAAGGCTGGATGTTTTTCACCCTTGTTCTCTTGTTCTCTCTCTCTCTCTCTCTCTCTCATGTTTTGTTGTTGTTATGTACAGTCAGAGTTAGACAGTGAGAGAGAGAGAGACAGAGAGAAAGGTCTACCTTTTTCTGTTGGTTCACCCCCGAAATAGCTGCTACGGCCAGCACGCTGCGCCAATCCAAAGCCAGGAGCCAGGTGCTTCCTCCTGGTCTCCCATGTGGGTGCAGGGCCCAAGCACTTGGGCCATCCTCCACTGCCTTCCTGGGCCACAGCAGAGAGCTGGACTGGAAGAGGAGCAACCGGGACTAGAATCCGGTGCCCTGACCAGGACTAGAACCTAGGGTGCCGGTGTTGCAGGCAGAGGATTAGCCTAGTGAGCTGCGGCGCTGGCCTTCACCCCTGTTCTAAAGCAACAAAAAATGCCTTCCCTATCTCCTTTTCCCCAGACTCCTAGTTCCTTCCTTTGGAAACCTCCATCATATGTCATTGTATATTATTTTTTATATATTCTTTATAGCATTCCTATTCTTACTTCTCATCATAATTGCTTCTTCATCTGTATACAATGTGCTTATAAGATTGTAATGCTTCATATATCAACTATGGTCTTTAACTATTGGTGATATGACCATGAAAATGGAGACTTACTTGTTAAGTCTTTTTGAACAAATATGCCTTTTTAAAACCACACACAAGTATTCTTTTTTAAAAAAGTAAAAATAATTAAACTCTCTAAAAGCTTTTATGAAAATAAAAAACACAATATACAAAACTTACCTAAGAGATACCAACAATAACAAGAGCTCTCCCTTAATCCCCTTCCCATATCGTACTTAGCTAATAGCCTACTTTGCAGTTACAGCCCACTCAAGCCCTAGACCCGTCCCGAGACATGGAAGTTACCACTCTTTTTTAAAGACTGTTTTATCGTTTAAAGCTAGAGTCACAATAAGAAGGTCCATAGGCTATATTCAACCAGCAGACATATTTTCTGGCTTATCTGACATTTCAGAAAACGAGCTAACATGCAAAAGTTGACAGATTCTCAAAAAAACAGGAAACCTGGCAATTCTGGATAATGAATATAATTCTCGTGGGTCAACAACTGCTCTCATCAAAGTATATTTCACACTCAAGCTGGTGACAATTAAGCTCACTTCATTATACTTGTTATTTTAATGGCTCTAGAAGTGATCTCTATTTCTAATACTATGTAGAAGGTCAAAATCTTGAGTTTTCTGGTCGCCTTACCTGATGAGTTTCAAGAATAAGAGTAATTGACCGGACTGGACCAAAGCTCTTAAACAGCCTTTTCAAAGCCCTGAGATTGCAATTTTTGCTAAATGGCCCAGCATAGACAGTTGACATCTGTGTCCACTTAAGCCTCATCTACAAGGAAAAGAACAATATAGTAAAGAGTTGGATGTGGTAAGAAAATTCATTAGTCAAAACGTGGATAAAACCATCTGAAGAATATTTTGACACATATGTATGCCAAATATATAGAAGGATATTCACTGCAGCATTAGTTATAGTAGCAAAAATTTATAAAGCACAAATGCTATAATAGGTATAGCAAACACTGCAATAGTATGCAGATTTTAGGAACAAGAATAAGATATGTAGTGACATAAGATATATAAGATACACTACTAAATGAAAACTAAAGTTGCAAAGTAGTATGAATAGTCTGATTCCCATCTTTATAAAAATTTGATTTTCTGGATATTAAAATACACACAGAAAAACTCCGGAAAGTTAAAAGTCATTCAAAAGCCATCTACTTACCCTTTTGTTCATCTCTTCAGTGAGCATGGGTGCAAAGGGCTCAAACGAGAACTCAACAATGCTGAAGGGAAACTGGGGGATTTCCACTCTAGCCTGCTCAAGAACCTGCAGAAAACAGCACTGCCTGGTTGAGACAGGAACTTACTACTCTACTGTGGCTGCTAGGGTGAGCCATAATAATATAAAAAATGGTTGTCCTTTTACCCATGTGAAAAAGTAATACGTGGCTGACTGCCAGGTCTGGAGGGAAGTGGTGACACTACAACCTCGAGAAAAGACACAAAATCCATAAAGAAAATAAATAAACCCACATATTACCCTTACCTTCAGTATTACCTAGCAATAGGGATTACTACAACCTTCAAATTACCTCTATATAAAGAATTAAGTTAAATTCCAACAGCACTCTCACTGTTGCACAATACTGCAAGCCTCTGAGTTAGAAACAAAAAACAAGGCAGAAGCTTAACAGATTTGGCGGGGGGTGAAAAACATCAAGCGGCATGGGAAATAGATGAAGCACAAACCAAATCACTCCCAGGGGATCGGGAGGAAGGTCCAACTGAATGCCAAATAATAAGGAGCAGAGGTCACAACTTTGATATTTCCTAACAACAGACTACAGGAGAGACCAGGCAGTCTCAGAAGCAGTACGTCTGGAGAGCAATCAAATGTACAGAGAAAAGGTGGTACCCCTTGGAGACAATGCAGTAGACAGAAAGAAGGAAATAAGGAGGCATGGGGCTGGCGCTGTGGCATAGTGGGTAAAGCTGCCACAGGCAGTGCTGGCATCCCATATGGGCACCGGTTCAGGTCCTGGCAGCTCCTCTTCCAATCTAGCTCTCTGCTACAGCCTGGGAAAGCAGTAGAAGATGGCCCAAGTCTTTGGGCCCCTGAACCCATGTGGGAGACCTGGAAGAAGCTCCTGGATCCTGGCTTCAGATCATCCAAGCTGCAGCCATTGCGGCCATTTAGGGAGTGAACCAGCAGATGGAAGACCTCTCTGCCTCTCCTCTCCCTGTAACTCTAACTCTCAAATAAATAAATAAGTCTTAAAAAAAAAAAAGCAGACAAATTCAGGATCCAACAGAAAGAGAATTAAGACACATGCAGACCTGTGGGGAGCAACCGAGACTAAATTACTGGAACTAGGACTAATTCTATGCATCTGATCTCCCACAATATGGTGCTGAGAGAGAGCAAACAACTTCTACACAGCTGCCTCACCAATTCGACTAATAAGCTGCAGGAGCTGATCCTGCTCCTGATTGGAGGAGAGCAGCATGCTCAGCGCGTGGGGAGAGAACGCCAGGAGAGTTGGGATTGGTGGAAGAGGACTATAAAGGAAGAGAGAGACAACAGGCACCAGGAACATCTGAACAACCCCTGAGAGAGCCGGCCAGCGGTGTGCCACCCCTCCGCGGAGGCGGGGGGGGGGGGGGGGCAGCTAACCCGGGAAGGGCCGAGGAAAAAGAACAGCGTAGGGTCCGGTGTCGTTCCTCTGCGAGTGGGGGAGCGACACAGACCCCTCCAAACAATATTATAAACTCCTATCTTCCCCTAACACCACAATATCATTCTCAAAAGAGAAAGCATTTAAAAACAAACAAACAAACAAACAAACAACAAAAAAAAACAGAAGAGCGGCTGGCGCTGTGGCTCACTTGGTTGATCCTTCACCTTCAGCGCCGGCATCCTATATGGGCACCAGTTCTAGTCCTGGTTGCTCCTCTTCCAGTCCAGCTCCCTGCTGTGGCCCGGGAGGGCAGTGGAGGATGGCCCAAGTGCTTGGGCCCCTGCACCGCATGGGAGACCGGGAGGAAGCACCTGGCTCCTGGCTTCAGATCAGCACAATTCCAGCCGTGGTGGTCATTTGGGGGGTGAACCAACGGAAGGAAGACCTTTCTCTCTGTCTCTCTCTCTCTCACTGTCTATAACTCTACCTGTCAAATAAATAAAAAACAGGCCCATGCCGCAGCTCACTAGGCTAATCCTCCACCTGCGGCACCGGCACCCCGGGTTCTAGTCCCAGTCAGGGCACTGGATTCTGTCCCGGTTGCTCCTCTTCCAGTCCAGCTCTCTGCTGTGGCCCGGGAAGGTAGAGGAGGATGGGCTTGGGCCCTGCATTCAAAGGGGAGACAAGGAGGAAGCACCTGGCTCCTGGCTTCAGATCAGCACAATTCCAGCCGTGGTGGTCATTTGGGGGGTGAACCAACGGAAGGAAGACCTTTCTCTCTGTCTCTCTCTCTCACTGTTTAACTCTGCCTGTCAAAAAATAAATAAGTAAACAAATAAACAAACAAAAAAACAAAACAGAAGAGATGAAGGACTGAGAAGCTTCAGACACTCATTCTCCCACAGACCCTAACAACAACAACATATGAACTAGAACACCTTTGAGAAAACTCCAGAGACCAACTGAGAAACCAGTGTAAAACCAACAAGGGGGCAGGTGTTTAGTGCAGCAGTTAAGATGCTGCTTGGGATGCCTGCATCCTATACCAGAGTGCCTACCTCAAGTTCTGGCTCCTCAGCTTCTGATCCAAGTTTCTGCTACTGTACACCCTGGGAGGCAGCAAGTGATAGCTCAAATACTTGGATTCTCAAATACTTGGGAGACCCTGGTAGAGTTCTAGGTTCCTGGCTACAACCTGGCCCAGCTCCGGCTGTTGCAGGCATTTGAGGAGTGAACCAGTGGGTGGAATCTATCTGTCTCTGTCTCTCTGCTTTGCAAATAAAGTGAAAACTAAAAATTGTATAGCAAAAAGGGAGGGGAGGCATGCATGCATAATGCAATAAATGGCAATCTCAAAAAACAGAAAGGTTGAGAAACGGTCCCAGATTCAAGTAGAATAAAAAGATATGACAACTAAATGCAATACCTGACCCTAGAATAGACGTTATTCTGAAGGGAAAAGAAATGCTATAAAGGACATTATTTGGTCAACTGAACAAATTGGAATACAGATTAGAGTAGATAAAGGTACTGGATCAATAGTAAATGTACTGAAGTAGGTAGCTACACCATGGTTATATAAGAGAAAAACTTTTTAAAAAATATTTATGTATTTGAAAAGCAGAGTTACAGAGAGATGGGGGTTTGGGGGTGGGGTGGGGGTTGGGGAAAGAGAGACCTTCCATCCACTGGTTTACTCCCCAGATGGTCACAATGGCCAGGGCTGGGCCAGGCTGAAGCCAGGAGCTTCATCCAGGTCTCCCACATGGGTGGCAGGAGCCCAAGCACTCAAGCTATCTTCTGCTGCTCTTCCCAAGCCATTAGCAGAAGCAAACTGAAAGTGGAGCAGCCAGGACACGAACCAGTGCCCTTACAGGATGATGATGTCACAGGCAGTGGTTTTACCCCCTTTACACACTGGCCCCAAGAGAAAATATTTTTAACTTCACAAAATACATTCTAAAATACTTAGGGTGAAAAGGCCATGATGTGCTTCATGTATTTTCAAATGGTTCAGAAAAAGTCATACAGGGGGAGAGAAAGGGGGGAAGAAAGAACACGAGAGAGGAGAGAGTACATAACCATAAATGCACACACAATTGTTAACAAAAGGCGAACCTAATAAAACATTGTGCCATTTATGCAAGTTTTCTGTAGTTTGAAATTATTTCCAAGTACAACATTTAAAAAATAATACAGATTGAGCTTGCTTCAATAGTACATATACTAACGCCGGCGCCGTGGCTCAATAGGCTAATCCTCCGCCTTGCGGCGCCGGCACACCGGGTTCTAGTCCCGGTCGGGGCGCCGGATTCTGTCCCGGTTGCCCCTCTTCCAGGCCAGCTCTCTGCTATGGCCAGGGAGTGCAGTGGAGGATGGCCCAGGTGCTTGGGCCCTGCACCCCATGGGAGACCAGGAAAAGCACTTGGATCCTGGCTCCTGCCATCGGATCAGCACGGTGTGCCGGCTGCAGCGGCGGCCATTGGAGGGTGAACCAACGGCAAAGGAAGACCTTTCTCTGTCTGTCTCTCTCACTGTCCACTATGCTTGTCAAAAAAAAAAAAAAAAAATAGTACATATACTAAAAAATTAGAATGATATAGAGATTAGCACAGCCCCTGTGTGTAGTCCCTGCACAAGGAAGACATAAAAATTCACAAGGCATTTCCATATTTTTACTATAGGGAATCTCTTATCTTTATATTAATAAAAAAGGAAAATATCATACCTACACATGGAAAAATACAGATCTTCTGTATACAGTAACACACGAATTTCATGTTTTGATGCAACCTCTCTACTTTATACTTACAGCCATGAGAGATAAAATATAAAAAGAAAAAAAATGAAGAAGATATAGCCAGACTCAAAATCAAGATAAACATTTCCGTAAACCAGGGATAGAACAGAAATCCAAAGTGGTATGCAGGGCCAAAGCCACAGACCTGCTGGGCTCTGGAAGTGAACATTGGCAGCTAACAGTTCTGGTCCTACGGGGCAACTGTGATTTAAAGCGCTCCATACAAGATGTGAGCAGAGGCCAGATTTGCTAACTGTAACCAGGGTTGCTGAAGAAAAAGAACTGAACACTTGTACAGGGTGCATTCCCCTCTGCTCTCAATGCAACCTGCCAAGGTACAGCAAACTACTCACCTGTTTATTTGAAAGGCACTTAATAGTTTTACAGTTTTTAGAAAAAAGATCACTAGCATCTGTGTCCTGGGACAAAAAGAGGAGTTTCTGACCCAATGAGTCCAAGCATTCTATAACACTGTAAAGAAGCAGAAGAGATCAAGGTAAGGACAACAGTTTTTATAACCTGACAGTTATTTCTCTGTACATACTCTATCCAACAAGATAGCCACTGGCTATAGGTAGTTATTTAAATTGAATTAATTAGCATTAAAACTTCAGTTCCTCAATTGCCACACTTGTTGTGGCTACCACACTCAACAGCACAAATGTAGAACAATCTCATCATTGCATTAAACCATACTGGGCAGTGTTGCTCTAACAAGGACGCGAAGGGTAAACAAGAAATGTACCCAAAGTGCTCTACCAAAACATAGGCCAGATTCTAAGGATCTGATACTGACACAGTCATTAGGTTCTGCAGCCAAACCTTCCTTCTGAGTCTGTTTCTGTTTTTGTGTTTCTGGGAAATATAGCAAAGCTGTAGACTGACTCTTCAAACCAAAATGCTTTATCACATCTCCCAATGCTGCATTGTTCACTGTATTCCAAAGTCTTATTTTCTCATAAAGGATGTCATTTTAGACCAGCTGCTAGATTTAGAAAATTAAAAATTAGATAATATTTCGGGAAGCAGCTGATAATTTTCCCCCATGGTTTTTGTAATGTGACTCATATTTTTAGTAAATATTTCTGAAAAAAACTCCTAAGAAAAAAATTCCCAGGAAAAGTAAGACACCAGATGCTCTTATCTGCCTTTGTTCTTGTTTTTAATTTTTTTATTAATATAAAAAGAACAGATTACATACCTTCCACAGGTACAGTTCCAAGAAGATACCCACACTTCCCTCCTTTCATCTCCACCTCCCCCAACTCTGTTCTTGTTTAAAACTAAAAAACATTACCTTGTGTTTGAGTGCTGAATGACTCCTGGTGTATTTCTTGGCTCTTGGCTGGCTGCTTGCAGTTCTTGGTGATGAACAAGTGCATGCAGATTGAGTTCCGCAATCTTGAAGCAAGTAAAGTGGTAAAAATCATCTCATTTCTCGCAAATCATTTAAGGTTAAAAGAAATTTGAAAACCCCATTTTAGTGATGTTCTCTTCTTTAGGTGGTAGCTTTGCCGTTGCCATAGTTCCCAGGCTGCCTTGAAGTTACCAGATGTGTTCTGGCTGCTTAGCCAAGAATGGCAGTGTTACCAGCCAGCTACTGATGCTGTTCACATGAATATAGGAAATGGCCCAGTAAGGTTAAGGGAAAAGAAATGGCAATTTTGGCTCATTCTCATTCTCTAGTCACTTAAAATTTACTTCTCTGCCAACATGCTATTTTTAGAAATAATAGAATGGCTTTTACGACAACATCAAAAATGACATATTAGTTTAATATGAAAGCACGTGACGTCTACTGTAGTTGATATATCTTCTTTCATAAAGTAGGAGTGCAACTGAGAATTGTGATACAGAGAGAACATATTTTTAAAAACTATTTGTTATAGATTTATAGAAACAACAGAGTTCCCATATGCCCTACACCCATTTTCACATATTAGTAACAGATTAGTATGATGTACTTGTCACAATTAACGAACCAATAATGATATATCCAATATTAACTGAAATCCATGCTTAATTCAGATTTCCTTAGTTTTTACTCAAATAAAACAATTTTCACTGGAAATGAAAAAATAATAGGTTCTCAAATGTGGTATGAGGACACTTGAGGGTTCCAGAGGCCTTCCCATGGGGTTCATGAGGTCCTCCCTCCTCCAATTACGTCATACAACAGAATGAATGCAAAAGCAAGTACAAGGTGGTTGGCAGTATGTCTTAGTGGGTAAAGCTGCCACCTGCAGTACCAGCATTCCATGTGGGCACTGGTTCATGTCCCAGCTGCTCCATTTCCAATCCACTTCCTTTGCTAATGGCCTGGGAAAAGTAGCAGCAGAGGACCCAAGTGCCTGGGCCCCTGCCACCCTGGTGGGAAACCCGGATGAAGCTCCTGGTTCCTGGCTTCAGCCTGGCCCAGCACCGGCCATTGCACCCATCTAGGGAGTGAGCCAGCATTGTCTTCCCCTCTCTCTAACTCTGACTTTCAAAATAAAAAAATCTTTTATGAGATAAAATAAAAGCATGTACAAAAAGCAATCTGACTTCTATTAAGCTAGAAGTTCATTAAGTACGAAATACATTAAACAATGAAACTCTTCCCACTTTTTTTGAAATTCCTTTTTTCATACAGATAAGTCATTTGTGTTAACATATAGTTTTTGATATTTTAAACAAATATTACAAATACTTTCTCTCATTTCATTTTGAATATGATAAATTTTGATAAAATACCTATATAAGCAAAATTTGAGAACCTTTATAAAGTAGTAAAAAAAGATTCACTAGCCGGCGCCGCGGATCAATAGGCTAATCCTCCGCCTGCGGCGCCAGCACACCGGGTTCTAGTCCCGGTCAGGGCGCCGGATTCTGTCCCGGTTGCCCCCTTCCAGGCCAGCTCTCTGTTGTGTCTCGGGAGTGCAGTGGAGGATGGCCCAAGTGCTTGGGCCCTGCACCTGCATGGGACACCAGGAGAAGCACCTGGTTCCTGGCTTCAGATCAGCGCAGTGCACCAGCCACAGCAGCCACTGGAGGGTGAACCAACGGTATAAGGAAGGGCTTTCTCTCTGTCTCTCTCTCACTGTCCACTCTGTCAAAAAAATAAAAAATAAATAAAAATAAAAGAAAGATTTACTTATTTATTTGAAAGAGAGGGAAAAGGAGAGACTGAGGGACAGAGAGAGAGGAAGATTAACATTGTGATTGATTGATTTCTATCCACTGGTTCACTCCCCAAATGCGCATAATAGCTGGGGCTGGGCCAGGTGGAAGCCAAGATGAGGAAGTCCATCTGGTCCGAGTGACTATTACCCTGCTTCTGATTCAGCCCCCTGCTAATTTTCTTGGGAAACACCAGACAATGGCTCAAGTACTTGGGTTCCTGCCACTCACATGGAAGACCCAGATGGAGTTCCTGGCTCCAGGGATTCAACTTGGCCCAGCCCCAAATGTTACAGCCATTTGGGGAGTGAACCCCCTGATGAAATATCTTTATCTGTTTCTCTCCCTCTCTCTGTCACTCTTTCACATAAATAACATTTTAGAACAGCATATTCAGTAAGAGCTCAGTGAATGGTGACTATCATATTTACATGTCCAAACAAGATCTTTTTGGAATATCTTTCTTACTACAACAACACAAAACACGATTCTGACTATTGATTATTATTCTATATGGACCACAATTTATAGGCTAATGATGAAACATTATATAATGGAATAATCTAACAGGTTAGTATGCATTATAAGAAATTCTGTCAGAAACAAAGATCCCTTAAATGCCTCCCTTATGTGTTCTAATCCATACCCACTAATTATTAAAACAATGGTATGCCTCCCTCCAACTCCAAGAACACAGAAATCCACATAGATTATTTTTTGCTATTAGTATCAGCTGTAATGATCACCACCACTGGCATGGTGTTTAACATATTGAATGAACTATGTTAAGAGCTTTATACACAGTATCTCCTTTATCCTCACCAATATTCTACAGAAGCATGTGTTCCCATTTTACAGATCTAGAAACTGAAATTATCCATAACAATTGCATTAGATTACACAGCGAGACATTGTACAGACTATATTTAAAAACTAGCCCAGTTTCAGACACTATATACTTAGCCACTACATAATGCTATTAATACGTGCCTTAATCACAAATGCAACAAGCTCAGCTTCAATCACACTCCCATTTTTTGAAGAGAAAGGTAAATGAGAGACTGTGTTATGTGGTTTTCTTTTCCATCCCCACACATTTGAGAAAGGCAAACATGCTGGTCAAAGATACTAACCTTCTTTGGGCCGTACTTAAGGAAATACTGAGCCAATTCAAGGGTTGTTCTAGCATCTTCTGTAGCATCATGACCAAGCTTGTTTGGGCATTGTATATCCTTCCTGGAAAGTCAAGATACTACTGATACACCTGTGAGCATTTTTAATGACAGATTAAACCACTTCAAATGTTCTGTTTAGGGGCCAGCGTTATGGCGCAGGTTAAGCTGCCTCCTGCAATGCTAGCATCCCATATGGGCACTGATTCAAGTGCCAGCTGCTATGCTTCCAGTCCAGCTCCCTGCTAATGCACCTGGGAAAGCAGTGGAAGATGGCCCAAGTCCTTGGGCCCATACACCATGTAGGAGACCTAGATGAAGTTCCAGGGTCCTGGCTTTGGTCTGGTACAGCCCCAGCCACTGTGGCCATCTGGGGAGTGAACCAGTGGATTAAAGATCTCTCTCTCTGTCTCTCCCTCTCTCTCTATAACTCTGCCTTAAAATAAATCTTTAAATCTTTAAAATAAATCCTCAGTGGAGAATGGAACTGGGAATGGGAGAGGAAGGAGGAAGTGGGTGGGAGTTGGGGTAGGAGAGGGGAGTATGGTGGGAAGAATCACTATATTCCTAAAGTTGTACTTATGAAATTTGTACTCATTAAATAAAAGGTTTCTTTGGGGAAAAAAAAATGTCTGGTTATATAAATTTAAGCATTCTGATGCATATCACAACAATCAAGATTTCTTAATTCTAGTTAACTGCCTGACCCTAACATACTATTTGAACAAAAGATTACCCAACAAAAAGTCTCTGGCCCACTCTGCAGTCATCCTCTTGTCTCAGTTCTTAGATGTAACATCTGTTTAACTCACCCTCCAGAAATTTATTATTTATATACAAATGTCTATTTGTATTGAAATCCTTTTATAGTTGCTTTTTTAAAAATATACACATATAGTTAAGTGGCCTATACAGATTGAGCTCTGCATCTCCATTTTATTCTCAGCAACACCTTTGGTTTCCGTATTAGCACATACAGATCCACCACGTTATTTTCGAATAGCAAAGTGTTCAATGCAAACAACCATAATTTATTTAACCAGTCCTGTAGAATTAATCCTGTTATAATGAACATCTTTGTACACATGTGTTTCTACACAAAAGGATGTATTTCAATACAGGTATCTTATGTTTTGAATCTTTGGTCAACTTTTCTGCCCTTCCCTGAATGGTCTTATCCATCAAGTTCAACAATGAATGTAAATCCTATTACCTATCCCATAATATCATAATTTTATAATAAATGAAAGTAATAATGTTTAAAAACTAAAAGGAAAAGCAAATACCCTAAATTTTGCAATATGCATTAAATTATAGAAACTATACACTTACATATGTGCAATTTATCAGGACAGTATTATAATATGTAAACAAACCTACCCCAAAATAGCTTTGGCTAAGAACTTTAGTTTAAATCTTCTGCCCTGCTCTCTGATATAAAGCAATGATGTATCAATAACATATGGATGTATCATCTGAGGAAGAAAGAGAATAGAATGAGTGTTATCTTATGCTAAAGGCAACAACAAGTAAGCTGGGAGGTACAGTCTAAGGCTTTAGGTATAAGACACTCACTTTCAGTGCTCTGAGATCCAAGTCTAAAGAGTGGCCCACTAATACGGCATCAGGAGGAAGCAGTGCTTTCAACTGCCTCTGTACATCCTTGAGTTTGGTTGTCACTGGGTTAAGAATCTTTTTCGTAATTCCTGAAAACCTTTTAACAACAGAAAGAGAAATAGATATGCTAGGGGGCCGGCACTGTGGCACAGGTTAAGGCCCTGGCCAGTAGTGCCGGCATCCCATATGGGCGCTGCTTTGAGTACCGGCTGCTCCACTTCCAATTCAGCTCCCTGCTAATGCACCTGGGAAAGCAGCAGAGGATGGCCCAAGTGCTTGGGCCCCTGCAACCACGTGGGAGACCCAGAAGAAGCTCCTGGCTCTTGGCTTTGGCCTGACCCACCCTCAGTTGCTGCAACCATTTGGGGGGTGAACCAGCAGATGGAAGACCTCTCTCTCTGTCTCTACCTCTCTGTACTCTACCTTTCAAATAAATAAAATAAATCTTTTTCAAAAAAGAATAGACTTGCCAGGATATTAACAAGTTTTACTCACTGGAAAGTCATTTAAAAAGAGTAAAAGAAAAAAAAGTTTTATCTAATGTATGCTCAGTATCAAAAAGAATGAAAATACAAATAAGCAGAAATTGGGGCCGGTGCTGTGGTACAGCGGGTTAATGCCCTGGCCTGAAGCACCGGCATTCCATATGGGTGCCAGTTCGAGACCTGGCTGCTCCACTTCCGATCCGGCTCTCTGCTATGGCCTAGGAAAGCAGTACAAGATGGCCCAAGTCCCTGGGCCCCTGCACCCATGTGGGAGACCTGGAGGAAGCTCCTGGCTCCTGGTTTCGGATAAGTTCAGCTCCGTCCGTTGCAGTCAATTGGGGAGTGAACCATCGGATGGAAGACTTCTCTCTCTCTCTCTCTCTGCCTCTTCTCTCTCTGTGTAACTCTTTCAAATAAATCTTTTTAAAAAAATAAGCAGAAATTAAAAATTAGTCATAATCCCACTACCCAGAAATGATCACTTTTCACATCTTAGTAAATATCACTTCATATTTTTTGATACATAAATGAGGGTTCTTCAAAAAGTTCATGGAGGGAGCCAGTGCCATGGCTCACTTGGTTAATCCTCTGCCTGTGGGACCAGCTTCCCATACGGGCGCCAGGTTCTAGTCCCTGTTGCTCCTCTTCCAGTCCAGCTCTCTGCTGTGGCCTGGGAAGGCAGTGGAGGATGGCCCAAGTGCTTGGGCCCCTTCACCTGCACGGGAGACCAGGAGGAAGCACCTGGCTCCTGGCTTCAGATCGGCACAGCACTGGCCATGGTGGCCATTTTGGGGGGGGGGGTGAACCAACGAAAGGAAGACCTTCCTCTGTCTCTCTCACTATCTAGCTCTATCTGTCAAATAAATTAAAAAAAAAGAAAAAGAAAAAGAAAGAAAAAAATAAAAGTTCATGGAGGGTCCAGCATTGCAGCATAGCAAGTTAAGCCACCACCTACAACATAAGCATCCCATATGGGTGGCAGTTCGAGACCCGGCTGTTCCACTTCCAATCCAACTCTCTGTTAACGCATCTGAGAAAGCAGCAGAAGATGGCCCAAGTGCTTGAGCTCCTGCACCCATGTGGGAGACCTAAAAGAAGTTCCAGGCTCCTGGCCAGCGCCACAGCTCAATAGGCTAATCCTCTGCCTGTGGCGCCGGCACACCGGGTTCTAATTCCGGTCGGGGCGCCGGATTCTGTCCCGGTTACCCCTCTTCCAGGCCAGCTCTCTGCTATGGCCTGGGAGTGCAGCGGAGGATGGCCCAACTGCTCCTGCCATCGGATCAGCGCAGTGTGCTAGTCGCAGTGCGCCCGCCGCGGTGGCCACTGGAGGGTGAACCAATGGCAAAAGGAAGACCTTTCTCTCTATCTCTCTCACTGTTCACTCTGCCTGTCAAAAAAAAAAGAAGTTCCAGGCTCCTGGCTTAATTAGCCTGGCACAGCCCCACCATTGTGGCCATTTGGGGAGTGAACCAGAGGATCTCTCTCTCTCTTCCTCTCTCTGTAACTACCTTTCAAATAAATAAAAAATCTTTTTTAAAAGTTCATGGAAAATGGAATTTAAAATTGTTTTTGTTGCAAAAAATTTGAAATCGATACATAGATATTAATTCATGTATATATTTCATTTCTATAAAAATGAAATAATGCATGTGCTGCTTTAAAACATGATGTCACTTGGTATGTATCTTGAACAAGTTTTCGTATCAATAAATCTCTCAGAACATCCTTTCAAATTGTTGGAGTATTCCATTTTACAGATATAACATTTTAATTAATCCCCTACCATCAGACATTTATATTCCCATATTTTTGCAGTACCATGAGAAAAAAGCTTGTGCACACAGACCTGTTCTTTACATACTATCAAGTCATCAAGTCTGTTAACACAATAGTCTTCATCACTAACATGGCTGCTTTGCCTATGGATGCACCTTCAATGGATGGAAATAATACTGTTTCACAATCTCATTCTCTGCCCAATCACTCTGTGCAAATCCTGAAATTCCATGATAATCTTTGGAATAACAGACCAAAACTCTGGGCTTCAAATTTCTATTATGGAAAAAATCAGTTTTGTTTTGGTTTTCGAGGTCAAAGCAGATTAAACTCTAAGATCATTTAACTGCCAAATGATAATTTACAGATTTTCAGCTGAGGTCTTAACAGAAAGCAAGGCTCCCTCCCTCCAGCTGTTTAGCAGTTGCTAAAAAATGATTACAATTGGGAGATTCTAGGACAAGGAAGATAATAGTGTGCAGACTTAACATCTCAAGAAGACTAGAAAACCAGAGCGCACACATTATACTCTGACAATATGTAATTTCAGTATTAAAATATACTGATATGTTGCCCTAGTCTGTTCTTTGATAATATATAAATAGATAAAACCTACATAAACGGATGCTGTCATCATCTCTGTTAAATCTTACTCCATTCTAATGTGACAGTTCTAGGAAGAGCTGGAGGTAAAGTGAAAAATACCTGGTGAGATAGTCCAGAATTTTGTTGTCTGGTTTGACCAGTTCATCCATAAGACAGGCGCCTCCTTCAGCAACCAGTGAGACCCGTGTTAGTTCTCTCCCCTTGGAAGTGAGGCACTGTAAGATCAGGAGGAAGTCAGGATGCTGAAGTGTGAAAGATACTGATTCCTCTCATTACCCACATCACAGTGATTGCCACTACCCTCATCTACCCACTAGAGTCCTGCAGGAATGGCACAAACTTTTACTTGCTATAAGATCCAGTATGAATTCAATTACTGGAAAGGATTTTCTCAAGATAAAGGGAAATAATATTAATCATAGCTGTATCTATCACTTATGAAGTATGTACTATATCCAGTAGTATGCCTAGCACTACTAATAAGTGATTTTTATTAAACATACTATTATCATCCAGTGCTGCACTAAGCATTTTATAGTGACCACTTAATCATCATCTTATGAGGTAGCTTTATTATTATTACAGAGGGACATGATGATGTTAAGAGGTTAGGGGACTTGTCTAGGGTGATATGATTCGGCAATGCCAGGATACATACCCTGACATGGGAGACTCCAAAACTTTTAGCTTTTAGCTTCCTCATTAAAAATTAAGAAACATTTCCTGAGGAATGAGAGGGGAGGGGATGCATTGTTTTTTTTAAGATTTATTTATTTATTTGAAAGGCAGACAGAGAGAGACACAGAGAGAGCAAGATCTTCCATCCACTGGTTCACTCCCCAAATGGCCGAAATGGCTAGAGCTGGGATGACCCAAAACGAGGATCCAGGAGCTTCTTTTGGGTCTCCCACTTGGGTGCAGGGGCCCAAGCACTTGGGCCATCTTCCACTGCTTTCCCAGGCCATTAGCAGGGAGCTGGATTGGAAGTGGAGCATCTGGGATTCAAACCAGCACTGATATGGGATGCCAGTGCTGCAGGTGGCAGCTTTACTCATTACGCTACAGTGCCAATCCCAAAGGGATGAACTGTTTTTGAAAGGAAATTTACTAAAATGAAGCCAAGTAAAACATAATGAGAGCTGGCATAGTAGTCCAGCAGATTAAGCCACCACCTGTGACACCAGCATCCCATACGAGTGCCAATATGAATCTCACTGTTCCACTTCCAATCCAGCTCTCTGCTAATGTGCCTGGGAAAGCAGAAGACAGCTGGAGTGCTTAGGCCCCTGCTACCCATGTGGGAGATCCAAATAAAGTTCTGGGATCCTGGCTCCTCTTAGTCTATCTGTCCCACCCTCTAACTCTGCCTTTCAAATAAAAATAAAGAAAATTTTTAAATATACCCACTTTAAAAAATATACAAGGGGTACTTATTCAAGGAAATCCCACTTATGATATTCAATGTGTAAAACTAAGCCAAACCAATGGCAATTAAGATAGAATCTTCATAGTAACAATAAAACACTTGTTCAAAAGACAGAAGGAGAAAACTAGTAATGAGCATTCAAGTAAATATAGCAACTAGTTAGACAACACATATTTATTCCTTTTCTGTGTTGTTGTTTTTTAAAGATTTATTTATTTATTTGAAAGGCAGAGTTAGAGAGAGAGAGGAGAGGCACAGAAAGAAAAATCTTCCAAAAGCTGGTTCACCCTTCCAAATGTCTGCCATGGCCAGGGCTAGGCCAGGCCAAAGGCAGGAGCCAGGAACTTCATCTGAATCTCCTACACGGGCAGCAGGGGCCCAAGCACTTGAACTATCTGCTGCTGCTATCCCAGGGACATCAGCAGAGAGATGGTCAGAGTGGAGCAGCTGAGAATCCAACTGATGCTTATATGAGACTCAGCTGCAGGTGGTGTCTTAACTGATATTCCATAAGGCCAGTCCCAGAAAAATAAATCCAAGTTTTCTAAAATGCCCAGTAAAAAGGGCTACTTTCAGCTACTTAAACTATTTCTTGTTCCTGGAACTGAATACATTGGTTCACTGATGCATTACATTCAAGAAACTATCCTACTCTAGACTCCATTTTGCAACACCCCGTTGAAAATTAAAAATAACACTTACCATCTCACAGTCAAGACCAAAGAGAGGACTATTCTCTGTTACAGAACCATCACATTTGGTAGGTACAAAATTTTCACAGTCAGGAAAACCTAGAAGGAAAGGAATAAAATATTTCTCTTTTGAACAAGAAATAGTAAATATCACTCTTAGATTCATCCAAGAAAATACCATATTAGCTAGGCAGTTTGCGTATGTAAAACACTTGAAATACAGAAACTAAATAAAAGGCAACCTGTCTTCCAGTTTTACTCCATCTACTCATTTTCATACATATTTTGAGAAAAATAATAAAAGCTATTGTTATAGGGGATCCTGGGCCTAGAATTGCTAGCAGTTATCAAGCAACAATTTTTCATTCTTAGAGGAGAATATGACTAAATTATAGCTAAACCCAAAGTTACTGGACTCTCCATGTAGGCAGGAAGAGGATGAATAAAGTAAGCGAATGACTACATGTGGCATCTTTCTTTCTAAATAAATCAGGAAAAAACAGAAATGAGATCCTACCAAAGTAGAGTTCTCAAAAGATTACATAGTAAGCAGAAAGTTTACGTAACGTTCACCATGTATGTCCCTCCACCCAAGTCCATTCTTGAGATTTCTATGAAATCCGCATTGAGAGTTGCCTGCATTTTCTGTAATCATCGCATAAAAATTACCTACAGAGGCTCAACAATAAGCTTATGGTATGCCCTCCATTGTGGACCCAAGATAATAAATAAGTACATTTAGTTCAGAGACACAAAAGCATTTGAATAATTGGAAGATTTCTACTTTCAGGCAGAGGCTAAAGCAATACAGGTAATATCTGGGTCTTGTTTGACAAGAAACAAAGGGACATATGAAAACTGTTAATCGGGCCGGCGCCGCAGCTCACTAGGCTAATCCTCCGCCTGCAGCACCGGCACCCCGGGTTCTAGTCCCGGTTGGGGCGCCGGATTCTGTCCTGGTTGCTCCTCTTCCAGTCCAGCTCTCTGCTGTGGCCCAGGAGGGCAGTGGAGGATGGCCCAGGTGCTTAGGCCCTGCACCTGCATGGGAGACCAGGAGAAGCACCTGGCTCCTGGCTTCGGATCAGCACGGTACGCCAGCCACAGCAGCCATTGGGGGTTGAACCAATGGAAAAGGAAGACCTTTCTGTCTGTCTGTCTCTCTCACTTTCCACTTGCCTGTCAAAAAAAACTGTTAGTCGGGGCCAGCACCATGGCTCACTTGGTTAATCCTCCACCTGTGGCACCGGCACCCTGGGTTCTAGTCCCGGTTGCTCCTCTTCCAGTCCAGCTCTCTGCTGTGGCCCGGGAGGGCAGTGGAGGAAGGCCCAAGTGCTTGGGCCCTGCACCCGCATGGGAGACTAGGAGGAAGCACCTGGCTCCTGGCTTCAGATCAGTGCAGCGCCAGCCATAGCAGCCATTTGGGGAGTGAACCAACAGAAGGAAGACCTTTCTCTCTCTCTCACTGTCTGTAATTCTTCCTGTCAAATAAATAAATAAAATCTTTAAAAAATTTTAAAAAAATAAAACTGTTATCAGTTTCCATCTCCAGTACTCTGAAATCACCACTTAATTAGAAGATCAAATTATTAGTTATCCCAGAAAAGAAATGAAACCTTGTCCCAGGTTTGGGACACACTATACTTGCTATCACCTTTACCTATATCATTATTGGAAATAACAAAAAAATTAACATCTTCAAAATATTCACTGTAGAAGTGTTAAAACGTTAAAGACATGTTGCCTTGTTTTAATTCTCTAAGGACTGAAATAAAATTGAACGAAAAAAAGGGGCCATCACTGTAGCGTAGCAGGTTAAGCATCTGCCTGTGGCTCTGGCAACACATATGGGCACTGGTTCAGGTCCCAACTGCTCCACTTCTGATCCAGCTCCCTGCCTTGGAAAGCAGTAGAAGATAGCCCAAGTGCTTGGGTCCCTTGCACCCACGTGGGAGACCCCAAAGAAGCTTCTGGCTCCTGGCTTTTGGCTACAGCCATTGCAGCCATTTGGGGATGAACCAGCAGATGAAAGACCTCTCGATCTCTCCCCATCTCGGTCTGTAACTATGCCTCTCAAGTAAATAAATCTTTTTAAAGAATTTAATGAAAAGGAATAAATTATCACTGAATATTTCAATGGTATTTAATGTTCTATTTGTGTACTACCTAAAATCTTCACTTTACCGATCATGGTACATATGCCACACTTTGGGAAACACTGCATTTAAATTATTTCCTCATTAATGGAAGATGGAAAATGCAAGAAAGCAACCAGAAAAATGAACTTTCAACAGTAGAAATTAAACTGTAAGATATTCTTACATTGGTAGCAAATCATATTAAGTTTAAACCAACCTTGTAATGGAAAGCTGAATGTTTTCATTTCTTCCTTTGTCAGAAGGCATCTGATCAAGCTCACTTTCTTAAGACCGTATTTTCGAACGATAGGGTCATTCTGCAGGTTGATGCTGGCTTTTGAAATGGCAGAAGGTAAAGATTCTGGAACAAGAACAATTACATATATTTAGAATGTGTGTTTAATAACTTCAGAGGACAGGTCTCCTAGCCTTGGGTAGGCTAAGCAGAATAAAGATCAAAAGATGTATAAAACTTGACCCCAACTGTTAAGGGGCTTTCAATCTAATGCAGTAATAAGCACACAAAGAGAAAATAAACCCCAAGGGAGGAAGGGGGAAGAATGTATCTCAGGTTGGAGTGGTCAGAAACAGTTCAAGAAAAAAAGTGAGCTGTGAAGAAAAGGCAGATTCACATAGTTGGTTTATTAGATCTGCTCAGTACAGTGCCTGCCATTACCAGCAGTCCATTCTAGTTAAATCAACTCTACTTTCAGGCATCCACCCAAGAACCCCAAGCAGTACCATGATCTTTTAACTGAGGGTGGAGGCAAATGCTGGTTGGCATATGAGTGGGCATCACTGATTGAATAAGGGTGTAGAACTAGTTCAAGGGAGCCTCATCTATAGACTGACCAATGACTTGGTATTTCTTGCCAAGACATGCTCAAAGGCGACAAGGGTAATTAAGCTGATCAGACTGCTTCTGCAATTTTAACTAGAAAATATAAAGAATTGACCAGTTAGAATCCACATGCATCACATCAACAATATTGTCAGCACTAACAAGACTCTCCTTGCCTAAGGTGGCTTGAACGAGCATCTGATCTTTGCAGCCAAAAGATCCAAAGTATTATGAGTAGAAGCTGGCATTCCATATGTACAAAGCAAACTTGGTTTAGTAAGATCAGTAAAGAAGAAAAAAGATCTATATAAGAGAGGCAAGGATAAAACAGAAGTGAACCCGGTTGCCCTCTTCCAGGCCAGCTCTCTGCTGTGGCCAGTGAGTGCAGTGGAGGAATGCCCAAGTGCTTGGGCCCTGCACCCCATGGGAGACCAGGAGAAGCACCTGGCTCCTGGCTTCGGATCAGCACGGTACGCCGGCCACAGCGCGCCGGCAGCGGCGGCCATTGGAGGGTGAACCAACGGCAAAGGAAGACCTTTCTCTCTGTCTCTCTCTCTCACTGTCCACTCTGCCTGTCAAAAATAAAATAAAATAAAACAAAACAGAGGTGAAAGAGAAAGATAAAATAGACCATTATGTATGCTTGGTTCAAGAGTTTGAACTTTAGTCTATCACAAAATACATAACAGGGAACATTATGAGAAAGGAAGTGACATAAACAAATCATTTGAGGAAGATAAGCCTCAAAAATTTGTGGAAGTAGAAACTACAAAGGCTTTGAAGTAATTCTGGTTTAAGATAATGGAAGCAGGGCCAGTGCTGTGGCACAGTGGGTTAACGCCCTGGCTTGAAGCACCAGCATCCCATATGGGCACTGGTTCAAGACTCCGCTGCTCCACTTCTGATCCAGCTCTCTGCTATGGCCTGGGAAAGCAGTGGAAGAAGGCACAGGTCCTTGGGCCCCTGCACCCTCATGGGAGACCCAGAGGAGGTTCCTGGCTCCTGGCTTCGGATGGGCACAGCCAACCAGGGAGTGAACCATCAGATAGAAGATCTCTCTCTCTCTCTCTTTCTCTCTGCCTCTCTGCTCTCTGTGTAACTCTTTCATATAAATGAATAAATCTAATGGAAGCAATGGCGGAAACGCAATATATGAAAGAAATTTTACGTAAGAAAAATGAGCAGAGCATGGCAACTAGCTAATTCAATCAACAGAGGCTAGCATCGTGGCATAGTGGGTAAAGTGCCAGTTGTGATGCCAGTATCAAACATGGGCGCATTTATGTCCCGGCTACTTCACTTCCAATCCAGCTCCCTGCTTAGCCATGAGGGAGACCAGATGAAGCTCCTGGCTTTGGCCTGGAGCCGCAGATCAGGTCATCTAGGAAGGAGATGGCACAATGAAAGGTAGAAAACTAGAAGCCAGATGTGCTGATAGAAGATTATAGCAATAACAGTTCTGAAAGTGATGGAAGGAAATGACTGATTACTCTCATGTTCCCAATGTGTAACTATTCAATTATTTAATTATATATGAATTCTGTTAAGTTCTATTCTATTTCATTACTCACTCTCTCCAGCCTTTACTACTCAAAAAAACACAGGTTAGCTATTAATTTGCTTATAGGATACAACCTACAGCTTGAAAAACAGTTATCATGAATATACATACACACACACACACACACATATAATCTTTTAGCTGGCTACCATCTAGAACTCCCTGTTCCTTTCTGTGAATTAGTAGCTGTCCTTTACATTAGTTAGGAATTGACTTCTCATCTGTAAGTGCAAAGTTCCAGTGACAGTTCAGAAATTACTCACAGTAATTCCAAGGGTCCAATGTCAGTGATATTCAGGTATTCTTAGCTACCTAACCAGATGGTTTCTGAGGCATAAACTCTATGGCTGTGGTTCTTGCTGTCTAATGTCTCGGGTAGCTGTACATTTTTTCCTCAACAAATTTGCTTCTCAAGTTAATTAGAACTCAGTTCTGTTGCTTGTTAACAATATACTCGACTGGTAAACCTATTTACAGCTATAACCACAACACCTTTTTAGAATGAACATATTATCAACCCAGAACCATAGTCATACCTTCCAGTGTCTTGGGTAGATCTCCAGTGGGTTCTTTCTTTTTCAGTCCAATGATATCAGCTAGAAAATTAGATGATGGAGGTGGCAAGCGGAATTTCTGAAAACACATTAACAGGTCTTTACAAAAATGCTTGCAAGCAGTTAAAATACAAGGATGTGAAAGGCATGGACTTCTATCCAAGTGCAATAAGAGGTCAAGACTTTGTTTGCAATGTAAAATGTTTCCTTAATACATAAAAGTGACAAGGTAAACGCAGTCATATTTACCACCATCACCCAAAATTTTCTTTACTTCTCTGATTATACATTGTAAAAAGGACAAGCATTATAGAAAAGTACAACTTAGACAGGAAAATTGCTTATGTTTTTCAAAGAACTCCCATACCTAGTATTTTATTGGACAGCATGCCAGATAGTCAACAGGACAAAGCTGAGAGCTCTAGCCTCAGGCTCACCTGGTTTAAATTCCAACTTCATCACTTACTAGATACCTTGGGCAAATTATTCAGTTTGTTATGGATAAAATGGTAACAAAAGAAAGTATCTCTTACAGGACTGTTGTGATAAAGATAAAGCACACAGAGCCCTAAGTGTTCAATAAATGGCAGCAAAAAAGAAAAGGAAGACTTAGAGAAATCAAATTAGAGCTCATCAACTCAAATGCTTTGAAGGGGTAAAAGGATAAAAACAACCGATAGTGATGGAAGAGGCTATGGAAATATGGAGAGCACAAATTTCTAAAGATAGTGGCTACTGTTTAGCTCTAGATACAGTTCTAAGGATGCCTCATCTTATGAAATTTTTTTAAAGAGAGGAAAAACAAATTGCATTTAAATCTTACAATTTTGAGAAATACCATAGTCTAAATAGTCTGACTAAAATTGGACACTACCAATCCAGGAGCTATAGATAACCTGGGAATAAATGTTTTTCCCTAATTAATAACAATAACAACAATCAGAGACAAATCTAATCTCAACAGGAGGTCTCTGAATCTTAGTCCTTTTTCCCTTCCAAACCCCATATTACTTGTTTAGGCAGGTTGCCAATTAGCATGGCCCCAGACACATACATTACTCTCAAGATCGAAGAACTTGATTCAGTCCCTAAAACACAGTTTTCTTGACTTACATGTCTGAACGCCTTTCGGAGAAATCGCAACTCCAAATAGAACCTGTAAAAGTGTAGCTGACTCATTCCCTGAAGAACAAAAACCACCACATTTTTCAGGCGGTTTTGGTGAAAAAGCTGGCACCATCTATTGAAAAACCAAATCAACACAGTTAACAGTGATGTCCTCAAGTCAGTTTATAGGCGTACAAGAGAAGTGTGGGGCACAAAGGTACTAAGTGACAGCTAATGGAACTCATCATCCCTTACTGACTGCCTGGAACTAGAAGACACGTATTACTGCATAAAATTCAATTAAAGAGGGCTGGCGCCATGGCTCACTTGGTTAATCCTCCACCTGCGGCGCTGGCATCCCATATGGGCACCAGGTTCTAGTCCCAGTTGCTCCTCTTCCAGTCCAGCTCTCTGCTGTGGCCCGGGAGTGCAGTGGAGGATGACCCAAGTGCTTGGGCCCTGCATCTGCATGGGAGACCAGGAAGAAGCACCTGGCTCCTGGCTTCGGATGGGCGCAGCACCAGCCGTTGCAGCCATTTGGGTAGTAAACCAACGGAAGGAAGACCTTTCTCTCTGTCTCTCTCGCTGTCTATAACTCTACCTGTCAAATAATAATAATAAAAAATTCAATTAAAGATCTCTTGAGCTAAATATTTGTTGCACTAAAATCAAGTAAAATACCAATTGAAGTATAATGCATTTAAATCCATTGTTCAATTAAGTTTTTAAAAAAATTTTTTTTTATTTACTTGAAAGGCAAAGTGAGAGAGAGAGGGACAGAGAACCTTCTATTTTCTGGTTCACTCTCAAATGGCCTCAATGGCCAGGGCTGGTCCAGGTGGAAGCTAGGAGCCTAGAACTCCATTCAGGTCTCTGTCATGGGCGGCAGGAGCTTAAGGCCATTCACTTCTTTCCCAGGCACATTAGCAAGGAGCTGGATCGTAAGTGGAGCAACCAGGACACAAGCTGTCCTCCAGTATGGAATGCTGCTGTTGCAGGCAGCAGCTTAGCCCACTGTGCCACAACACTAGCCCCAACTAAACTTTGTTTTAAATCAGAACCAAGCTCACATTACAAAATTCATTCCCAAGATCCCAACCTACTCCACAGGCTTTCTTAAACTAGATAATCAAATGGTTAGCATCAAGAAATTTAGCTTTAGATAAATTTACAGGCAGACGGCATTATTTGTTGGTATAGAAGATGGCTTTTGAGGTATCTAAGTAATTTATAACCTCCTCTAGAGAGATGCTTGCATTTGAAAGTCTCTTTATTGCGACATTACACAAAAAAAATGTTCGTAAGATATTTAACAATGGTATTGACAATATTGGAATTGTAAATTCTGTCATTGCTGTATATTTGTAAAAGGAAAAAATTGACTGAATTTTTAATATAGCATCATGTTATTTCAATTAGGTCTACAAAACCACACATAAAATAGCCTGAGAAATACTGTAATTAAAGGAAGCAGGCCAAACAGACACATACCCCATAAAGAAGGGAAGACCACCGCTCAGTTTTGACAAATTGTTGCCATGCTGGGCTTCTCGAAGAGAAAGAAAAACATGGATTTTCATATAGGAACTCACAAACTTAGTTGTGAGGAGCCATAATACAAAGAAAAATTAGGATATGCTGCATGGCAAACAAATAATGCCAGTAAGCCAGATATGGTCCTATAAACATCAATTTGAAACCTCTAGTCTATATCGCTATTTAAGTTCATTTCATACCTGGGTTTAGAAACACAGGATTTGCCCAGAACTGCATATTTTAGCAATTCACATAGCTGGCCATGGGTTACTTCACAGTTTTCAGCAAGTAAAACAGTAGATAAGCGAGGCTTCTGCAAATATATATCAGGGTACAGGAAACCGTGAGTATCAAAAATAGCAACAAAAGCAAATCATTATTTTAGCTTCTGATTTTTTAAAAAAGATTTATTTGAAAGGCTGAGTTACAAAGAAAGGGACAGAGATCAATCTGCCATCTACTGGTTCACTCCCCAAATGGCACCAATGACTGGACTGGACCAAAGCTAGGAGCCTGGAATTCTATCCAGGTCTCCTACATGGGTAGCAGAGGCCCAAGCACTTGGGTCATCTTGCGCTGCTTTCCCAGGCACATTAGCAGTGAGCTGGATCACAAAAGTGGGACTTGAACCAGTGCTCATATGGGATGCTAGCATCACAGGCAGTGCCTTAACACACTGTGCCACAACACTGGGCCCAATTTCTCATTATTTTAATATATATTCAAAGATAAGGAGCATTCTAATTGAAAATGAAAGCTAAAATGTGTGGAATGTCATTATTAATAAACACTGATACAGAATCCGAATTACAGATAACTACTTATGTGTTAAGGATAGTAGGATGAGTGAATCATGATTCATACTTTCAAGGCCTTTACTAGGGAACAAAATCCAACAGTCAGTTAATCCAACAGTGTAGGTAAATGCTATTACAAAAGTAGAGGCGCAAAGAGGCTAACTGCTTTGGGGGTTAGTTTCAGGGATGGCTTTAGATTAAAACACTGGAGTAGAGTAAAAAAATGAGTCTGCCAGGCTAAAGAGAAGTGAGTGTCCAAACATGAATTTGGGTTTAGCTGGAGCCAAGAGTATACATTGGCAGAGTAGTGGAAAAGAACAGGAGCCAAGGCAAGATCACAGAAAATCTATGTGGTCTAACCTAAGCATAAGCTAATCAATCAGAATTTATCATAAGATAACAGGGAGTTCAGGAGCCGGGGTAGTAGTAGGTTAAGCCTCCACCTGCACTGCAGGCATCCCATATGGGAGCCAGTTCGATTCCCGGCTACTCCACTTCCGATCCAAACCGCCTGGTAAAGCAGTGGAAGATGGCCAAGCGTTTGGACCTCTACATTCAGGTGGGAGACCCAGAAGGAGCTCTTGGCTTCGTACATAGTTCTAAGTACTTTAAACGTATTTTTTAAAAAAGATTTATTTATACTATTGAATGAACACTCTTAGCACGTGCAAGGAGATAACAGTTTTAAAGCCCCAACTACAGCCCGAAGGGAAGAGATATCATCATTTCCATTTTACAGATCTGAGAGCGTGAATGAGTCTGACCTGCGCCCAGGGACCCCGAAGGCTCCAAACCTCCTCGGGCCTCCTGTTGCTCACCTTGGCCTCGGGCTGCCTCTCCTCCTCGAGATCCCAACGGGCTCTCATCGCCTCAGACGCCCCGATCTGCTTGTTCGGGGCCCGTTTCCTCTTCCTGTCCTTTCTGGGATGCCCCCCGGTCCCGTCCTTCTCTGGCTCCATAACGCTGTGGAGAAAGATCATCTGGTACTGAGAAAACTCGGATGCCCAGATTCCACGGCCCCGGGAGCCTCTTAAAGCAAAAGCAGCAGGAGACTGACAACCTATAACCTCCTTAGGGAGAACTGCTCGATTCTCAGTTTACAGAGCTCCCTCCACCCGCCTGCAAAGCGTGAGCGTCCATGACCCCTGTCACAAGCAGCCCAAACAAACGGCTTTACCGTCCGCGTCTGGGGTCGGATTCGAAATGATTCCCCAACCGCGCCAACACGCCTCTGCCCACAGGCGAGGAAGGACCAGAGCCCTGCCCAGCGGCTTCCCCCGCCTAAAGCCACTCCCCACGCTCCGAAATCCGGGAGACGCCGAACAGAAGCCGAGCGGACAAGTCCCGGTGGCTCTCGCCGCTGCCGCCACAGCGGCAAGCACTGCCTCCACCGTCGCGCGGGTTCTTTGAACGGACCGGAAGTGAGCTTCCACGGACTTCCGGCGGCTGGCCTTCGAAGAACTAGGAGTGCCGGGAATGGCGACGAAGCGGCTGGCGCGGTACGCTAGGGTGGTTCGTGAGGTGGGTGGCCCCCTGGTCAGGCGCTGGTGGCCGCGGCTGCGCCGGGCATGCGGCGTCGGCGGTGGCCGCCGCTGTTCTCCGCAGTCGCCAAGTCTCCGTAATGTGTCTGTGAGGATGCATCAGGGAGCATCCGCCTTTAAGCGACAGCGGAAGGAACCTGAAAGCTGAGAGCTCCGGGTTCTTGAGTCTTGAGCCAGTGTCTGCCCATTCTGGGCCTCGAGGAAGGACTGGATGGGTAGATTGTTCGAGGATGTTGACGTCACGCTGCGCACCTCGCCACGCTAGTGCTCCGTTTAATTCCTATTCTGAATCACTGTTGCCTTCTCCCTGACTCCTGGACACAATGTGCCCATGTCGGGTTTCCAGAAGCAGTGTAATGAGTTAGTGAACAGCTCGAGCTTCAGCCCCGACTTGACGAACGAAAGCTGTGTTTGTGTGTGTGTGCTGTATAAGTTTTCATACACATAGCTTAGGTTACAGAAGTGCGTAACAGTTAAGGATTAAAGACATCATTAATCTTAGTTTAGTACCTGCTGTGTACTAAACAGACATCATTAATGTACTAAAGACATCATTAATCTTAGTTTAGTACCTGCTATGTACTCACAGCTAAGAAAATGTTTAACTGTCAGTAAATGCTAATTATTCCCAAATCCCAGCATTTCCCTCATAGCTCATAACAAAAGCTGCCAACAACAGGTGTCTGCCTGGTTAAAAATGGCATGCTTGTTAAAGTAGTTTGTCTCACCCGCACTTAAAGCCGCAGCTCTTTTTTTTTTTTTTTTTTTAAGATTTATTTATTTGAAAGGCAGAGTTACAGAGAGGCAGAGCCAGAGAGCCAGTTAGGTCTTCCATCTGCTGGTTCACTCCCCAAATGGCCTCAAGGACAGAGCTAGGCTGATCTGAAGGCAGGAGTGTCTTCCCCAGGCTTCCATGTGGGTGCAGCGGCCCAAGGACTTGGGCCATGGCTTTTCCAGGCCATAGCATGGAGATGGATTGGAAGTGGAGCAGCTGGGACTCGAGCCAGAGTCCATACACTACCGTGCCAGCCCCCTTAGTTCTTTCTTGGACTTTGCCATGCAGGCTTTGGGAGTCCTTTATCATAAACTGTGTCACTGATTTCAAGGACGTCTTGTTTCTTTACCCAGATTTTTTTTAAAGGTCCTAGAAGAGCCCTATGTTATGTTTACCTGTTCAGAACTGTTCTGTGTACGTAGCAATGACTGGGAAAAAAAGCTAAAATAATTTAAGCCTTTCAATACATCTTTACCTTTACATTTGAGTTCCTCTTATTACTATAAAAGGGGGCAGATAAAATAAGTTTGAAAATACACGCTTTGAGGCCCATGCAGATAAGACGTCTCCTAAAATCAAAAGGGAATGGCAGGCATGACCCCAGGTCTTTTGCTCCTCAACTCTAGTTCAATTTCCCCTCACAACACAATAATGGGGGTTTTGCCACATGCCCTGTATCATTAATGTGGGAGCCTATATAAATAATCAGTGTGAGCGTGGATGAGTTCATTAATCACATAAGGTTGTTTTACATTTTTAGGCAGCTTGGATTAATTAGGAGAAAGTCAATTGCATCAGCAAGTGGAAATCTAGGAAGAGGCAAATTCAGTAAGTAGTGTGCCCAGTTTCTTTGCATTTTGTAGCCTTGCACTTTGAATACTGGTAAAGCATTAAGAACCCCTTAATCTTTTACAGAGCAGTTGTTTCAGTACTTAATTGTCATTGATTTTGAGTCGACATGCTGGAATGATGGAAAGCACCACCATAACCAGGAAATAAGTAAGTCTGCACTGCCATTGGCCAAAGCTGGTCCAGATGAGTCCCTTTACAGTCTATAACTATAAACCAGCCAACAATTTAAGGAAATAGTCTATGAGTGTAGTTTAGTATGAAATTTAGGTCAGTGTTCAGCACATAGCAGACAATAAAAATCTTTTGGAGATGAATTAAGTGTATTTAGCCTCAATAACCAGCAAGGGTGATGATCAACCTTATTATTCCCCTATTGAAATGTAAATTGCATGAGGACTGGAGACTGTGTGGTTTCCTGGACTGGGATATTCCCCAAACATAGAACAATTCCTGGCAAAAGACCTCATTCTTGTCTAAAAAAGAACTAAATCTCAGATAACATACTTGGTGTCATTCATGAGTATAAAGTAATTGTTTTAGGATTACATACGAAACTTCAGCTTAATAGAAACTGAAAAAAATACTTGTACAAAAAATACATTTCAGTGCTCTTCGTATTTAGTAGTGGAAATATGTATTTTAAGTGTTCATAACTTGAGTATTTTGATTTTTTGGCATCACACTACTTTTGTTATTTTAATATGGTTTTACTGAAACTGTTTAATAATACTATTATATAAATCTGCTTAATATATTCAAGCATTAATTTTAAAAATTATATATTTAAATGTCAATTGATGTTTCTTTCATTTAGTTGAATTTCCAGCAGTATTGTTGAATACTTCAACTGGAGAAATTGAATCTGAGTTCCATACATATGTTCAACCTCAGGAACATCCAATTCTTTCTGAATTTTGCATGGAACTGACAGGCATAAAGCAGGTATGATACAAATTTTAAAATTCACAAGTCAGTTTCAAAAAGAAAAGCTACGTACTATTTGGCATCAGATTTATTCAGTGTTAAAAGAAATAAAGGAATAAAGGTTCCCCTGGAATCTTTACAAACTGGAATGAGTAGTTTCATGAAAATGAATATCTAATTTGTTTTGTTGAGGAGCTGGTGTTATGGCACAGTGAATGAAGCCACCACTTGCAACACTAGCATCCCCTATCAGAGTACCAGTTCAAGTCCTTTGTGAGTTCTACCCACTGTGTTATTTTTTCCCACGTGTTTTTACATCTCTTCACAAAATAAACTCTTGCCCATTTAGAACCTCTTCTTTGTTATGTCCGCTGATGAGCTCTGTCTTACAATACATGCTCAGTAGTTGTGGAATTTAACTGAATTCAGATTTTGTGACTCTACAGGCTCAAGTTGATGAAGGAGTGCCTCTGAAGATTTGCTTGTCTCAATTCTGTAAATGGATTCATAAGATCCAGCAACAGAAGAAAATTGTTTTTAGTACTGGAGTTTCAGAGCCTTCTTCTTCAGAAGTACAACCATGTACATTTGTTACTTGGTCAGGTAAAAAATAAGTTATGCTTACCAGTCATAAATGTGTAGTATTACCACTATGTAATCTTTATTTCCAATTTTATATTTGTGACCTAGAATGTTAACTTCCTAGGGCAGAAAAAAATTTACATGCCTAGCAATTGTTAACCAAGAAAGTAAAATCATTCATATTTTTAAAGTTATCATTCTGGAACACCTTAAAGTTTTTAGCTTTAGCTTTAAGAATCATTGTAGTTGTTCCTTTCTGTTCTGAATCCAGGCAGAAGATTTAGTAAAACCTTTTCTCATGATATTCTCTGTAGCTTTGAATAAAAAGAATCCTGATGCAGCTTACCTCCTTTGCTTTTATGCTTTGACACTTACTAACGTAGACTTCAAGAAAAAATTGGCCACTTAAATGAGGTCTTTTGGGGTGTTTTTGTTTTTTTTTTGTTTTGTTTTGTTTTTAAAATTTATTGTATGTATTTGAAAGGCAGAGTTGCAGAGAGGCAGAGGCAGAGAGAGAGAGAGAGGTCTTCCATCCACTGCTTCACTCCCCAACTGGCCACAATGGCCGGAGCTGTGCTGATCCAAAGCCAGGAGTCATGAGCTTCTTCTGGGTCTCCCACATGGGTACAAGGGCCCAAGGTCTTGAGCTTACTGCTTTCCCAGGCCATAGCAGAGAGCTGGATCAGAAGTAGAGCAGCAGGAACTCAAACCAGCACCCATATGGGATGCTGGCACTACAGGCAGTGGCTTAACCCGCTACATCACAGCTCCGGCCCCCTAAATTAGGTCTTTTGTACAATTGTGATATAGCATTGCCATCAATACTCATTAATAGCAATGCAGTGCCATTGACTATTATTACCATAACACTAATAGCCATGTTTGGTTTCAAGTTGCTATATAATATTTGGTTTCTAAATGATATTAATATTTTCTTAGAGCATAAGACATACATGGCTTGTAATTTAACACTTTACTGTTCTGAAATAGTGTTTTATTGAGTGTTTAAGAAGTGATTTTGAAACTTAGTCACCAAACTAATTTGTTATAGTTATATAAAGTGTATAATTAGGGGCCTGTGCTGTGGCATAGCAGATGAAGCCACTGCCTGCAGTGCCAGCATCCCAAATGGGCGCTGGTTTGAGTCCCAGCTGTTCCAGTTCCAATCCAGCTCTCTGCTGTGGCCTGGAAAAGCAGTGAAAGATGGCCCAAGTCCTTGGGCCCCTGCACCCGTGTGGGAGACCCAGAAGAAACTCTTGGCTCCTGGCTTCTTTTTTTTTTTTTTTTTTGACAGGCAGAGTGGACAGTGAGAGAGAGAGACAGAGAGAAAGGTCTTCCTTTGCCGTTGGTTCACCCTCCAATGGCCGCCGCGGCCGCTGATCCGATGGCAGGAGCCAGGAGCCAGGTGCTTTTCCTGGTCTCCCATGGGGTGCAGGGCCCAAGCACCTGGGCCATCCTCCACTGCACTCCCTGGCCACAGCAGAGAGCTGGCCTGGAAGAGGGGCAACCGGGACTAGAACCCGGTGTGCCGGCGCCGCTAGGCGGAGGATTAGCCTAGTGAGCCGCGGCGCCGGCCGGCTCCTGGCTTCTGATAGGCACAGCTCCAGCCTTTGTGGCCATCTGGGGAGTGAATCAGCAGATGGAAGACCTCTCTCTCTGCCTCTGCCTCTCTGTAACTCTGCTTTTCAAATAAATCTTAAATAAATAAAGTGTATAATTATTAGTTATTAGCAAAGAAGTTAAGTTTTGCTGATCTATTTTAAATCATCTTCTAGCTTTTATTTGCAAATGGTGATAGCATAAAAAATGTTAATATTGACTGTGTTCTATTTTGATGTATTTAAAACAGACTGGGACTTGGGAGTTTGCTTGGAGTATGAGTGTAAGAGAAAACAACTGTTAAAACCTGTGTTTTTAAATTCTTGGATTGATCTCAGAGCAACTTACAAGGTAAAGGTCAAACATAGTTGCATGTTTACTTTCCTTCTGTTGAAAAATGGTTACATTTTATCCTACATAGGGATATGAGTTTCTACAAATAAGATATTTTCTTGGGTTGGGCATTTGGCACAGCAGTTAAGACACTCCTTGGGATGCCTGCATCCCATATCAGAGTGCCTGAATTCAAGTCTCAGCTCCACTTCTGACTCTAGCTTCCAGCTAATGTGCACCCTGAAAGGCAGCACCCTGCTGGCTCAAATATTTGGGTTGCTACCACCCATGTGGGAGACTTGGATTGAATTCCTGGCTCTTGGCTTTGGCCTGGCCCAGCCCCAGCTATTATGAGCATTTGGGGAGTAAACCAGCAGATGGGAAATTGGTCTCTCTGTCTTTTGTATAACTGGCATCCCATATGGGATGCCAGCGCTGCAGGCAAAGGCTTAACCTATTATGCCACAGCACTGGCCCCTAAATAAATGAAATAAGATATATTTTAAAATAAGAAGATACTTTTTTTTTTGAGATGGTCTCATAAATATATTTCTGAAAGTATTGGAAAACAACAAAAAGAAAAAACATTTCCAATCTAGTAGAACTAAAAGTTATGATAGGGGTCGGTGCTGTGGTGTAGTGGGTAAAGCCTCAGCCTGCAGTGCCAGCATCCCATCTGGGCACCGGTTTAGGTCCCGGCTGCTCCACTTCCCATCCAGCTCTCTGCTATGGCCTGGGAAAGCAGTAGAAGATACCCCAGGTTCTTGGGCTCCTGCACCCTTGTGGGAGACCCGGAAGAAGCTCCTGACTCCTGACTTTAGATCGGCGCAGCTCTGGCTGTTGCAGCCAGTTGGGGGATGAACCAGTGGATGGAAGACCTCTCTCTCTTTATGCCTCTCCTTCTTTCTCTATGTAACTCTTTCAAATAAATAAATATATCTTTCAAAAACAAAACAAAACAAAAAAAATTATGATAAGTGGTTAATGCATAGCCTTTTAAGTACTAACCACTTTTTTTAAGCTCTGACTTCTTTTGTTTGGTTAGCTTTTTTATAGGAGAAAACCAAAAGGACTAAGTGGTGCCTTGCAGGAAGTGGGAATAGAATTCTCAGGAAGAGAACATTCTGGTAAGTATAAACTTAAAATAATTTTATTATGTAAGTTATTTGAAGTTTATAAAATTTTTCATATAATTCTCATTTTTGACAGTTTCATTCATCAGGAATATCCATCAACACAGAAAAAGTTCTTGATCTATATAATTAAGACTTTGAAATTATCCCTTTCATAAATTTTATAAAGACTGTCATCTGTTGGCTTTCTGTTTGCTAAAAAGAATCAGCCAAATAAAATGGAAATTAAATAAATGCTCAGATAATTTAGTGGACTAGTGAAAAAGTTGAATAACACTATTAGATTACTCACAAATTATGGTCCCTACAGGTTATTGATCACACTTTGGGGAACTAACAAATTTTCACTTCCTTCTCTGAACATAAAAGAGATCTTTTATTGGTAACGCTGCCACAGCATTGTGACCAATATTAGCAGAGGATCATAAAACTAACAATTTAACCCAATTTCTTTTTAAGTGGTGGGGTTTTTTTTGCTGGTTTTTTTTTTTTTTTATATATTATTACTACTAAATTCAGTGTTTGATTCAGGGTTGGATGATTCTCGGAATACTGCCCTTCTTGCTTGGAAAATGATCAGGGATGGTTGCCTAATGAAAATCACAAGATCCTTGAACAAGGTTAGTGGCGTCTTACCTCTTCATTTGGTCATCTCTAACTCCAGAAGCAGTCATAGATTCATTAAAATGTAGATTTCATTTGTGTAGTCATTTATCAATTAGTGACTTTTTCTTTTTTGTCACACCTAATGTATACTGAAGAAATTGTAAATACACAGTTTCTAAAGCTGTTGGATTTGTCTGTGGAATCGTAGGTTCCCACTAAGAAGAATCCCAACATTCTGACCAGAAATTTGAACATAAATCAAGTTGAAGAAACGCCTGCCTGCCACAGTAACATCCAGAGTCCCATCATATATGATGGGGAGCCTAAAAATTCTATAAATTCTCAGGAAAAAATTCAAATGAGGTCAGTGTGTGTGAATTCTCCTAGGAAGTTACAGCAGCATCATTTCCAACCAAAGAATGACTTAAAAGCGGGCTTTCACAACATCCAAAGTTGCTTATCTCTTTGTAGTGCCAAACCCTCTACTTCTCTGGGACAGTTGCAGTCTCCCACCTTGAATTCACCTATCCATATACAGAAGCAAAGACAAAATGACCATCTTGCATTTAATACCAAATCTAAGTCTTTAACAACTAGTTCAGAATTAGTACTTGTTTCTACCACCATTCCATCTGTTAATCATGGTTGTGACGTGGAAATGAGTTCTGTTCCTGACTGTTTACCTATGTTGACTGATTGGGAGGATGTAATTTTACTGCCAGCATCTCAGCCTGATCAAAATATAGATTGTACAGCTCCCATTAGTGTCTCAGGTACCTCATTTAGTTCTGGAGAAAGATCAGTGGTTTTAGAAGAACCAGAAATGCTAAGCTATGAAAATTTGGAAGGCATAGAGAAAACTCCTCAAAGGTTTGAGACCTCCAAGTCTATTGTGTATCAGAGTCCTCATACTACTATTTATAATGTAAAAGAAACCAAAGATCTAGGTTCAAATGTTTCTGCCTTTAAGTTACCTGAATACAAATCAAGTAGCTTCAACACTATTAATGCCAGTACATCTCATCCTTCAGTTTTGAGAAAACCTCCTCTTCTCCTAGGTGGTACTAAAAGGAATCCATCTAGTCCCCCAACTTTCCCACCAGCAAAAAAACAGACCTTTACTATTCATGAAGAAAAGCCTACTTCATCTGATTGCTCCCCAGTAGGGAATTCTTCCCAGAAAGTTCTCCCCGCTGTATTAACTTCTACAGTTAACCCACAGGAGCCTTGGAAGAGTGGGAAAATGACACCTCCCTTATGCAAGTGTGGCCGAAGATCTAAGAGACTTGTTGTTTCTAATAATGGACCAAACCATGGAAAAGTCTTCTATTGTTGCCCTATTGGGAAATATCATGAAAACAGAAAATGTTGTGATTATTTCAAATGGGAACAAACTCTTCAGAAGGAAAAAGCCAGCAGCATGGTTCAGTCTCATTTCACAGGGCAGCTCGTTTTTAGTTCTCCAGAAACAAACCATGTTCCTGACAGGAATTCGAGCTTTTCTATTAAAAATACTTTGAGACTCAGACCTTCAATGAGGAATTGATAGGCTTAACTTCATATCCAAGCTCTGTTTCTATTTAATCTGACTTAGTGCAAGAAAGATTTAAGGACATGTCTAAGCTCTGTATACTACACTTGAACTATCATACATACATACAAACTGAAAGAGAAAAGATAAATTTATGACCTTCCACTTTCATTCACCAATTGTCTAACATTTGTATTCTGTTTATTCCTGTATGAATCCTAATTGTTCATTAAATTCCCAAACCTGAATATTCTGTTGTCTTATCCTATTTATATATCATATATTATTGTTTGCTGAAGAACCACAAATGAAATATTTTGTAAACTGTATTTATCAAGTTAAATTGAAAAAGCAACAATAGTATATGACATCTGCCTTTTGTAGTTGGACCTTGAAACAAATTTTAAACTCTTTGAATAAAAAGGTGACTAATAAAAATCCCTAACTTACTTTCAGGAAGAAACTTGAACTTAAAGAATTACTAAACTCTTTGATATTATTTTTATTTTTCTGGAAAGTTTTGTGAGTTGTTTAGTTTTATTTCAAGGCTTGCAGTTGGTTCTAATTTTATACATCAATATTTAGAAAGAATTATTCAGCTAAAGTTTGAAATGTTTGGTTCAGAAGCTGATTCTATACTATACATTTAAAATTTTCTCAGCATTTGATGAAACACTTTATATTATCAAATTATAGAGACATTGACACTCATGGAGAATAATTTACTGAATGTTTTATTTCAAAATTCAGCCTTTAATTTCATAACCACAAGATATTTTAAATCAACTTATCAGCCTATTACCACATTTTTTATCACCTCTCCATAGTTCTGTGGCCTCTGCAGATTTATAAATACCATGTTTGGATAACAGCATATTAATGGAGTGATTTTACATTGTTTTCCATTCCTTCTTCCTCAGTTCATTTCTTTTTATCTTCCCACTGATAGTCTTTGGCAGCTCTTGAATAAATTCTATCTGTTGGTATCAAGGGGAAGAAAATTATCCCAGATTTCCCCATTAGATAAAGCCAATTATATAGCATTTTTTTTAAAATGAATTCTGGGTGAAAGTTGAGGGTACCCATTAGGTTGAGTTTTTGATGTCAAGCTAAAAGAGAAATGGGTATTGTCTAGAAAAATTTTCTTGATAGTATTCACTGCAGGTCCAGTGAACCAGATGACTAGATACATGAAGGTATGAGTTTTCATTTTGATTTCAAAGATTATGGTTGTTATCCATATATTATTAGCTTGCAACATTTGGCATAGCTTGTTTTTGTTTTTTTTTTTTTTTTTAATTTTTTTTGACAGGCAGAGTGGACAGTGAGAGAGAGAGACAGACAGAAAGGTCTTCCTTTGCCGTTGGTTCACCCTCCAATGGCCGCCGCGGCCGGCGCGCTGTGGCCGGCGCACCGCGCCGATCCGATGGCAGGAGCCAGGAGCCAGGTGCTTTTCCTGGTCTCCCATGGGGTGCAGGGCCCAAGCACCTGGGCCATCCTCCACTGCACTCCCTGGCCACAGCAGAGGGCTGGCCTGGAAGAGGGGCAACCGGGACAGAATCCGGCGCCCCGACCGGGACTAGAACCCGGGGTGCCGGCGCCGCTAGTTGGAGGATTAGCCTAGTGAGCCGCGGCGCCGGCCGAGAAGGTTCATTAAGAAGAAAAAATAAATCGCTGAAAGTTTCTGAAACATAGAAAATGCTCATCACAGGATGCTCACCTTTCTGGGATATTTGTAGGGTGCTGTAGTTTTTTTCACATGCTCCTGAATCTCCTTTTTCAATTGTTCTTGATCCTGTGACTTGTATTCAGGGTTCAGAACAATAAAAGCCTTTACCACCTAAAATAAATATTTGAAACACCAGGAAGATGAATTGTGTTTTCTAATTTTAGAATGTTTTCTTATTTTCTCTAACTGGGAATTTTAAGTGCATGAATTTTAAGGGCCAGAGGGTTTAATAGAATTTGATCCCAGCGCTGTACTCTTAAGCCAGCCAATTGACTCCCATACCTCCTGGTCTGTACCCAGTACAAGAAAGGGTCTGGGACCTGCTTTCTTTATGATCTACTTTTGAACCCTCTCTCCTAACCACATCTTGAAGTCTGCTTTCCAACCTGCTTTTGGTTATTTCTGCCTTTAACTTACCACCTTATCTTTTAACTCCTTCTTTAAGGTTTTGTCTTGGAAACTTGGCAATGCACTGAACACTGCCTCTTGAGTAACAACAAAACCTGTTTTAGACTAGCTTCTAGATCTTCACCATCAGTGTTGCCCATATAAACAGTTGTCCCACTGAGTTGGCCATATCCTTGTTGAAAAGAATAGTTCACTGATACCATGCATTCTTTATACAAAGTTCTCATGATTCCAACAGCCGCTTGACTATTGACCCACTTACCTGATCCTGAGGAACAAGAGTAGACATAGTGTAGTAGCTTTAGCTATCTAACTGGCACAAGAAAAATCTCATCAATTTATTCTCTCAAACCCAAAGTTCATCCTTTGAGTGTTCTAGGCAATCTAATATAGAGTTTTTTGACTTTTAATGGAGAAGAAGAAAGATAGGCCCTCCCTGGGAAAGCAGTAAAAGGTGGCCCAAGTCCTTGGGACCCTGCACCCACATGGGAGACCAGGAAGAAGCACTTTGCTCCTGGCTTTGGATCCAGCCGTTGCAGCCATTTGGGGAGTGAACCAATGGATGGAAGACCTTTTTCTCTGTCTCTCCCTCTCACTGTAACTCTACCTCTCAAGTAAATAAATAAAATCTTAAAAAGAAAAAAAAGATAGGTCCTCCCTCACTTGTAGCCTCATTCAGAAGTATATTTGGGATCCTGTCATGTTCTCTCCTGGACACTGCCATTCATTGTCTCCCCTAGGGGCATGACTAGCTAACTCAGCTAGAATGTACCACCAAATCCAGGTTACCAGCCCAGGATTGCCATGGATGATGCTTCCCTGTAAGCACAATTCCAAGACAGCCCTCTTGACTTTTTTATGATTAAGCATCCTGCACGTAGATGAGTGAAAGATTAGGTTTTTAAAGATTTATTTGTTTGATGTTTTACTTGGGTTAATGAGCGAAAGGGAGACAAAGAAATCTTCCATGTGCTGGTTCACTCCCTCAGTGGCTGCAATGGCTGGGGCTTATGAAGGCCAAAGCCAAGAGTCTGAAACTCCATCTAAGTCTCCCACTTTTGTGGCAGGGCCCCAAGTATTTGGGCTATCTTCCTCTGCTTTCCCAGACACTTTAGCATGAAGATGGATTATAATTGGAGCAGCCAGGACTTGAACCAGTACCCATAGGGAATGCCAGCATTGCAGGCAGCAGTTTAACCCCTGTGCCAGGCACCAGCCTGAAGTGAAAGCTTATTGAATTGATAGATTCATGTTTCCAGCTTAAAAATAAGATGGCAGGGCCAGTATTGTGTGGTGCAATGGGTTAAGTAGATGCCTGTAATGCCAGCATCCCATATCTGAGTGTGCAAGTTTGGGTTCCAGCTGCTCCATTTCTGATCTAGCTTCCTGCTGGTCTGCCTGGGAAGGCAGTAAAGTATGACCCATATACTTGGGCCCCTGCCCCTGTGTGGGAGACCAGAATAGGGTTCCTGGCTCCCAGCTTAGGCCTGGCCCAGAACTGGCTGTGCAACCATTCAGCTGTTTGGGTACTGAACCAGTAGATGGAAGATATTCTCTCTCTCTCTCTCTCTCTCTTTCTCTGTTTCTCTCTCAGTTTCTCTCTCCATTGCTCTGCCTTCCAAATAAATCTTGTGAAGTAATGGTTAGCTGATAATGTTAGGAATATTTTGAAGTTGAAAACTGCAACAGTGTTTAAGAAAGACAAGTATGAAAATGCATACAATAGATGCCAGAGTTGTGGCATAGTGGGTAAAGCTGCTGCCTGTGATGCCAGCATCCCATATAGGCACTGGTTCAAGTCCCAGCTGCTCTGCTTCCAATCCAGCCCCCTGCTAATGGCCTGGGAAAGGCAGGTGTTTGGGTCCCTGCCATCCCGTGGAGGACCTGGATGAAGCTCCTGGCTCTTGGCTCCTTCCTGGCTTAGGCTTTCTCAGCCTTGGCCATTGTAGCCATCTAGGGAGTGAACTCATGGATGAAAGATTCTCTCTCTGCCTCTCTACCTCTCTACCTGTCTGTCTGTCTGTCTGTCTCTCTCTCTCTCTCTCTTTCAAATAAAAAACCTACTAAAAATGCACACAATAGTATTGTTCCAAGATTACATATGGCGGGCCGGCGCTGTGGCTCACTAGGCTAATCCTCCGCCTTGCGGCACACTGGCACACCAGGTTCTGGTCCCAGTCGGGGCGCCGGATATTGTCCCGGTTGCCCCTCTTCCAGGCCAGCTCTCTGCTGTGGCCAGGGGTGCAGTGGAGAATGGCCCAAGTGCTTGAGCCCTGCACCCCATGGGAGACCAGGAGAAGCACCTGGCTCCCGCCATCGGATCAGTGCGATGCGCCGGCCGCAGCGCGCTGGCCGCAGCGGCCATTGGAGGGTGAACCAACGGCAAAGAAAGACCTTTCTCTCTGTGTCCCTCTCTCACTGTCCACTCTGCCTGTCAAAAAATAAAAAAAAAAAAAAAATTACATATGGCAGGTAGATAAAAATGATCAGTATTTGGGATATCGTCCTCCAATCTTCATTTCCTGTTTCTTGTTAATTCTGGAACTTCCTGCCCAGTCAGGCTTGGCAGAACCTGGTCTGACGAAAGACCCAACCAAGTCAGAATAGGTCTGCCACCACAAAGAAAACTGCTATGACGTGCAGCACACCATCATTTTGTACAAGGACAGTTTATTTGAGACATCTACCTGCATGTTCTGTCAGGAAATGGTGCAGTCCACTAGTGTTGGGAAAATAGCCAAGCTTTCCCCCTCACTCTGACTAATGCAAGCTCTATGCCAAGACCTCAGAGCTGTGTGGATGTGTTTACCCACTTACAGCCCTTAGTTCTCTTATACTCTGGAGTAGCAGGTGTCTGCCAAGCCAAGCATCGTCCTGGATGCTCAGATGTCATCCGGTTCCTAGTAAGCCCCTCCCTGAATGGACAAAAATGATGATGGCTGATGGTAGGGGAAAGACGTGGGAGTGGCTGAGACTGATGAAACCCTCTGATGGAGTATAGTATGAAGACACAAACTTCCATAAGCACTGATTCTGTTCCTTGCTCTTTTGTGCCCATATTATTCCTTTTTTTTTTTTTTTTAAGTCAAAGTCACACAGAGGAGAGGCAGA